GGGTGCTGCAGAACCCCTCATTGCCCCCAACCACCCGTAAATATCAGCCCAGCACCTTTGCCATCCACCTTTGCACCCTCAAACCATACAGTTACCTTGACTGGAGCAAACTCCTGCTGGATCAGCTTCTTGAACTCACTTCTACTGAAGGGCTCAGATTTCTTCCCCTTCTTGGCATTGCCCTGGTAACTCTCCATCATGTCAGCGATGGCTTTAATGAGCTTAGACATGTCTCCAGTCCTGAAAAGGGGAGGAGGCATTGAGGACACGACAAGTTGGCAAGAGATGGATCTGCAGGAAAACCCCTACTTCCATTTGCAATAGCTCAAAATGCATTCAGTTCACTTCCAGCTTTACCAAAGGTAAAACCTCCCCTTGCTGAAGGCTCCTCAGCACTTTCACCTCAATTCACTTCATTTCCCTACTTTCCCTGTCCCTGCTTAAATTAAAAGGCTGAAGCTCCCCGTAGCCATCACAGGCACTTGTTGGGTTGGATGAATCAGCTCTTGCAGCAGAAGGAAAGTGCCGTTTCTCCACTCAGGGCTGGGTGGAGGGAGCCCGACCAGCTCATCCTGTGCTTGTGCCTTCAGACCCCGGTGCCCCAGTTACAAAATGACCCTAAAAACATAAAAGCTCCTTTCAAGCCCCAAAAGAACCCCCAGAGACTCACCCTGCTCACCTGCATCAACCAGCCAATGGGCGCGGATGGGACCGGTAGCAGCAGCTCGGTGCAAGCTCCTTGCGGGCTGCTCGGGAGTGGGTGGAGGGTGAGGATTGCTTCCGGTCAGTCCAGTTCTCTGGAATTGCTGCGCTCCCCAGGGAGCCTCCCTCATTATCCTTCCCCTGGGAGGATGTTTACCAGCGTGCCTGGGAAAGGTGTATGTAGGTCAGTGCGCAGCTCTGCTTTCCACGGGCGTTACACAGGGACCTGAATGGGGACTGCAGGGTTTTACATAGGGTTTTGCACTGGGGTTGGACCTCCTCGGATCAACAGCAAAAGAACAAACCACAACTTCTCTTCCTATACATAAATTTGCATTTATCTTCCCCCAAAAGGCTTTTTTCCCCTTTTACAACCAAAGTGATTTAGAGCCATGAGCATGAGCAGGGGCAGGAGCAGCTCCCATAGGAGGCAGGTTGAAAACATTGGGGCTGTTCAGCCTGGAGAAGAGAAGCTGCCTGAGGACCTCAGAGCAGCTTCCAGTGTCTGAAGGGGGCTACAAAGATGCTGGAGAGGGGCCTTCATCAGTGATAGGACAAGGGGTGATGGGCTCAGATGGGAACAGGGGGCATTTAGACTGGATATAAGGAAGCAGTTCTTCCCTGTGAGGGTGGTGAGGAGCTAGAATAGGTTGAATAGAGAAGCTGTGGCTGCCCCATCCCTGGCAGTGCTCAAGGCCAGGTTGGACACAAGGGCTTGGAGCAACCTGCTCCAGTGGAAGGTGTCCATGTCCATGGCAGGGGGTTGGAATTAGATGATTGTAAGCTCCTTTCCAGCCCAAACCATTCCATAATTCTATGATCTGTGAGTTCTTGGGGCTTTGCAACACCAAAGTGTAGGATATGTCATAAACAAAAAGTCTTCCTGCAGAAAACTTGGTTTAAGCTTAGTTTTGGCACTGTCCTCATGTGTCTCATGTGGGCTGTCACTGGCCGCAGACTGCAGTCACGTTTGCCCACCATGAGGAAGGAGAAAGCTGCTTTTCAAACAGGGCAGCCCCATTCAAAGAGTGACAACAGAGTGGAGACAGCCCCGTGTGCCCATAGCCAACAACGTGGCGATGAGCTCCCTCCCATGGGAGCCTCCCTTACTACACATGTGAATGGCACAGGGACAGCCACCACCCATCCCAGCACCGTGCCTTCGGTGCCAGGCTGCATTTCAGCCCTGCTGGAGCACTTCATGGGGCCCGGTTACCCCTTGGAGCCCCAGGCAGAGGGGCTGCGGGATGCTTGGCGCTCATCCATCTCCATGTGGTCTCCCAAGAAGTCAATGACCCCAGGTTTGCTGAGCTGGGAAGGGGGTGTAACAAGCTAGGAAGGGTGTGCCAGCCTTCATTAAGGGCTCAGGCACCATCCCAAGATTGCAGATAGGGTACAAAGGCAGATGAGATCATGCTCCGCATCGGTCTTCCCAGGGCTGGGCTCGCAGCAGCGTGGTTGGGAGAGGAGGGGTTGCTGGAGCCAACCTTTGCCTCCCCCGTCCTGCCGCTGCCATCACGCAAGGCATCCCTGTGATGCAGTGGGTTGTGAATGAGAGGCAGCCCCATGGTCTGGAGCTAAATTTGACAAGAGGGAGGAGAGGCAGCAAGTCCCTGCAGGCCCTCTGCAGCGAGGCACAGCGATGAGGAAGCTGCATCACCCCAAGGCCTGCTCTCATGGCTTTATGGCTCCCTGGAGCTGGAGGGTTTGGGGGGGAGACCCCCAGCCACTTCAGGGCTGTATTTGGCATAATGCACCCCAGTTTGGGGGTACAACTGTGCTGCGTAACACAAACCCCACAGAGAGAATGGCATCACAATGGTGTCTCTTCCATGAGCTAGAGAACCTTCTGCTCCTGGCTATGCCCTTGATAGGGATGCAAAGGAGTTCATTTACTGGTGTCATGGAATCATGGAATCAACCAGGTTGGAAAAGACCTTCAAGATCATCAAGTCCAGCCCTTACCCCAAGGCCACCACTAACCCATGGCACTGAGGCCTCACTCCGATGCCCAAGGGCTCAGGGGTTAAGGCTCTGTGTTGGCAGGTCCCTATCTCTGTATGAATGATGATGGAAGAGCATTTCTCTGCCATGTGAATAGGGCATTGTCCCACATGGGAAGGACGTGGATGATGCTTGATGGTGACCAGGCGTGATGGCCCAGAAGCCATGCACTGGGCAGGAAGCACTTCCACAGGGCGGGAGGGCAACGCATGGCAATGGCACCTACAACCACCCTGCTCCTCCCTCCACTTAGGACACGAGGGGAATTAGGAGCAAATTGCTCTGAATCACCCTGAGCCAGGCCCTTCCCATGGAGCCTGCTGCCACCACGGTGCCATCCGGTGGCATCACGTCCCCATCCACAGCAGCGTCAGCCTGGCTTTGCTGGGCTCTGAGCACCCATGGTGGTGGGGCAGCTCCTGGCCATGGGCCTCACCAGCACCCCAGGACTGACCAGTTTTGCCCCACTGTGTCTCATCCTTATCAGCAGCTCTACACTGATAATGAACACAATGCACACGACGCATCAAAGCCCCCAGTCACCACAGGGATGGGCATTGCACAACCCTTCCTGTGTCAGCACTGGGCTGCTGGCCCCATGTGGAGGGGTCTGTGGGGGTGAATGGAGGATGAAGGAGGGGAAGGAGGTCAACAGTGCGTGGGAAGGGGTTATGGTGGGCAGGAGGACCAGGCAGGATGGGGATGCTGGGTCCCAGCAGCGGGGCACAGCTCAGCCCCAGCTGGGTCGCATCTCGTTGCAGGGTCACTCATATAGACCAGCCCTAGGCTTTGGGATGGGGTGAGCACTGTGAGGAGCTTATTCCAAAGCTATCTTGATGGAACATAGTCCTTCAGTGGGGTACAAATGCGATCTGATGGCACAGCACTGCACCAGGGCAAAGATCAGGGAGAGGAATGTGAAATGCAGCCCCCCCAGATAGGAAAAGAAGGAGGATTTAACACTTATCTGCACCCACAGATTGAGCTGTACCCTGGAGGAAATGTGATGCTGCTCCCTGTAGGATACAGGTAAGAAGAGCTGATGGGGTATGGTGATAAAGGAGTGTGAGAGAGGAGGGCCAGAAGGGACCCTGAAGCTCATCCAGCTCCAACCCCTGCTGTGGGCAGGGATGTCACACTGGAGCAGGTTGCTCCAAGCCCTGTCCAACCTTGAACACTGCTCGGGAGCTGCTCTCTCTGTTGATGCATCTTCTGAGGGGTTTGCTGACATTTGGGATGTTTTAATAACCTCTTCCTTCTGACTGAGTTACCTGCATCCCTCCCACCCTCCATCCCCTCTCTGTAATGGACAACGTGTATGGCTGTGTGGTGCCTGCAGAGCAGCTCCTTGTTCCTCCTCCTTGTTCAGGATGTGCCCTCAGTTTGTTGGGATCTCCCAGCTGATAGAAGGGATCAGAGACTGGAGGTGCCAGCGGCTGCTGAGTATGAGATGGATGCAGTAGCTCTGCAGGAAGGAGCAATCTCCTCTCTTCTTTCATAGGATCATAGAATCAACCAGGTTGGAAAGAGCTTTAAGATCATCGGGTCCAACCCTTCCCCAGCACTGCCAAGGCCATCGCTAACCCATGGCACTGAGGGCTTTGTCTACATGGTTTGGGAACACTTGCAGGGATGGTGCCTGCAGCCCTGCCCTGGGCAGCCTGTTCCAATGCCTGAGCACCCTCTGGGGCAGGAATTGTTCCTCAGCTCCATCCAACCCTGCCCTGGTGCAGCTTGAGGCCGGTTCCTCTTGTCCCATCCCTTGCTCCTTGGGAGCAGAGCCCAGCCCCTCCTGGCTCCATCCTCCTGTCAGGCAGTTGTAGGCAGCCATCAGGTCCCCCCTGAGCCTTCTCCAGTCAGAACCCCCCAGGTCCCTCAGCCCTTCCCCATCACCCCTGTGCTCCAGCCCCTGCTCCAGCTCCAGTGCCCTTCTCTGGCCCTGCTCCAGCCCCTCAATGTCTCTCTTGCAGTGAGGGGCCCAGAGCTGAGCACAGGACTCAAGGTGCAGCCTCACCAGTGCCCAGCACAGGGGCACAATCCCTGCCCTGGCCCTGCTGCCGCACTGGTGCTGGTACAGGGCAGGATGCTGGGGGCTGCCTGGGCACAAGCTGCTCGTGTTCAGCTCCATCAATGCAGGTCCTTTCCCAAGAGCTTTTCCCCAAGCCTGGAGCCCTGCTCCGTTCTTCCTTAGCCAGGATGAACAGAAGGGGGGGACTGCAGGCGGCCCGGGAGGAAGGAGGAGCCCGGGACCGGGCGGTGCTTAAGGAGCGGAGGGACCGGAGCCGGTTGTAACCATGCGGGCGCTGAGCACGCTGGAGCCGGTGATGGGTAAGAGGGGGGGGGGATGCCCCGGAGGGAGCCTCCGTTCTCCTGGGGCTGGGGAAGGGGGACAGAGAAGCGGCCCTGGGTCGTGCTGGGGCTTCTGGGGGCCGAGCCCTTGGCCTCATCCGGCTTTGGGCCGCTCCTCGTTGGGGCCGCGCTCGGGGGGTGATGCTGGGGCTGCCGGAGAGGTCGGGTCTGAAGCAGCAATAACCGAGGGATGCTCCGTAGGGACGTGGGGCTGCGAAGGGGGTGAGGATGCAGAATGGGATGCGCTGCTTTCAGGGCACTGTTTTCTGGTCCTGGGGCTTGGTTTTGGGGCTCACGGGGTTTGAGTGGTGCATCCACGGGCTCAGAGGCCAAGTGCAGAGGTTTTGGGGAGCTGAGGCTCCGCGGCCAGGTTTGGGGGCTCAGGAGCAGGCTCTAAGTGAGCTGATGGGGGGCCTGTGAAGGATGGGAACCCAGCTGAGGGATGTTTCCTGCCATGGCTGAGCCATAACAACGTATGGGGGGGGGATTGTTAAAGTGCATTTGGTAGAGTGTATCTATAGATGAATACATAAAGAGAGAACAGATTTATGTTCATCGTGACTGTTGGGAAGAGGCAGGAAAACACGAGGGTGTAGCTCTTCTATGACCCTCACATTTGGCTGCACTGCAGTGCCTGAGCAATGCTCTCAATACAGCCAACAGTGGGACAATGAGAAACTGCACGGCTCCACAAGCAAACAGTGGCATAAAGCCAGTTGCTTTCCTAAACCCTCTTTCCAGGACCCTCTTGTGGCCGGATCCGACCCCTCACCTACGGGTGGATGCATTGTGTAGGAACTTACCCAACGACCTGATATTCCATCGACTGCAATGGCAAGTGTGGGCCTGGATGATGATTCGGTGGTGATGGGTGATGTATTTCTCCTTAATCTCTGTTCTCTCTATGCAGTAATGAGTTGATGCATTGCTCATTTTCCTCTGTGCTTTACTTTAGATACATACACACATATAAAGTAAATCATATATATATAAATCATATATATAAATCATAGATCTATTATTTGCTTTATTGTACTTATTCACTCTATATAGTTATATACCTGATTCATGTTAGTGTGCTTATTTGCTTTAGTGTGCCGGAAAGCTGATGGAAGATTGCAGCTAACAGAGCATGCCCTGTTCCTGAGCTGGTCCCTCCATAGGTAAGAATGTCCCTTTCAAGGATGAACTTCCAAGTGCTGCCTGTTACTGCCTTTTGGACTGTTTCTCCTCTCTTTCTTCATACTAATCTTATGGGCAAGTTGAACAAAGCCTTTTCTTTTTGTAGGTACAGCTGAGGTTTTAGTTCTGTGTAGTGCCAGGGTAGGACAGTTATCTTTTGAGCACCTAGATGGCAGTAGCAATGTAATGAATCAAGGCCAAGTTGAGCACAGCCTTCGGCAACATGGTCTAGGGTGGCGCTGCCCGGCCCATACCAGGGGTGTTGGATCTACAGCATCCTAAAGTCCTTTCCAACCCAAACCAGTCTGGGATCTATAATTATTATACATAACATAATATGTATATAAAATAAACAGTGTATAAAAATATAGAATATTATATATATATATATATATATAAGATAAACAGTGCAGAAAAGACCTTTTCCCATCTGAAGCAGAGGGGCTGGCACCTGCAGGCTGTTGCTTGTGGGGCTTTATGCTTAGAAAGCAAACTCAAAGGAAGCCGAGGCATTCTTCAGCATCTATTCTCTCATTTATTCAGCCCGGTGTTTGATTTAACATTATGGTTTGGCTGAAAGGCACGCTTGCCGTTGTCTGTCTTACAGATGAGTGTTCCTAGCAAAGCATGGCCAAGCCGAGTTCTCTGTTAGCTCAATCCAATGAATCTCATGCCTTTGTAGCTTTGCAGAGTTGTGTTATTGAGACTATTGAAAGAAACATTGGGGTATTTCACGTTGAAGGTCCTCAATTTTACTGCCTTTTAAACACTCTAAGATGCTCTTCACCTTTGACTTGAGGCTTCACATACACGCATTCTTGTTTTATGTTAGTAGCCACAAGCACATTAAAATGAACTATATAATATATAATAAAAATGTAATTTATATAATCTAGTTCACAGAGCAATCATTTCACTGCAAAAGAATAAGTGTTAACCTGCCACAATCCTCCTTTCTTTCCATCCTATATGAGCCTCAGAGCACTACAAGAGAGGCAGTACACAGATGGAGCTTTAGGTGGCAAAGCAATAGTTGGTGGCACCATTGTGGAGCTCACCATGCCCAGCATCAGCTTTCAGCCCTGGCACCTTAGGTGTATGAGCAGGATGCTTTCACTCTCGGAGCTGGATAGGGCTCGGAGCAAGCTGCTCTAATGGAAGGCATCCCTGCCCATGGCAGGGGGTTGGAGCTGGATGTGTTTAAGGTCCCTTCCAACCCAAACCAGGCTGCGGTGCTGTGATTGGCGATGGGCAGGAATGATGCTGTGGGTCCCCTTTACCTCAGGGCATGAAAGAGCACCACTATAGAGGAAAGTGAACTTCAGGTGAGCCTGAAAGCCAAGGGAATGCGCTATGGTTGAGACCTGATGGAGAACTGCAGCCCCAATAGGCAGGTGAAGGGCACCCAGCAGTGGGGCCATGGCTCTGCCCTGCCACCCAACCCGAGTACGTGACACACCAACCATGCAAGCCCCTTTTTGGGGAACTACCTCCAAGCCTTAGGCAACACACAAGTGTGTCATGAAAGGGACTGGAACTGGGTGAAACAGGGCCATTTCACAACACAGGTCAGCCTATAAGAGATGCTGCGCTTGGGACCAGCCCCACTGCAGCCCCAGAGGATCCACGCTCCTTCATCAAGATGAGCAAGGCAAGTCCAATGGGAACGTGTGGGCATTTAAGGTCTCCTTGCTCTTTTCTAGGTGCTGGTAGGACCACTGGGGATGCTGCTGGCAGAGGGTGACCATCTCCATTCAGGCTCATTGGAGCTGAACCCACAAGGTCTCCTCCTGGAAGAGGTTCCCCATGGCACAGTCAAGCCATGAAGAGGCTCCTGGACATCAGACCTCATTCTCTGTATCTCTACAGAGGTCTCTGCAGTGCCACCAGCTCCTTTGGGGGGCCTTACTCCACCAGTGCCTGTCTTAGAGAAGGCACTTGTTTTGGGGGGTGGAAATGGGATCTCAGCTAGGATCTGTGGTTGCACATCCCAGAGCAGAAGCAGACAGAGGCTTCAGCTCCCTTGGGTCTCCTTTGGCTTGTAGAGAGGAGAGAATTCAAACCAAACAGCTCAAATTCATCACCAGAACAGAAGGATGGACAAAAGCAGGCTGTGGCCTCAGCTGGTGTGGAGCTTGCATCAGGCTTCCTGTGAGCCTGTGATTCCCCATCTCTTGTGGCTCTGGGTGTTATTCAGTGTCATGGTTTCTCTTCCAGACCTCCCAGGCCCAGGAGCCCCTCTCCCAGCTGGAGAAGTCCATGGATGTCATCATTGATGTCTTCCACCAGTACTCGAGACGGGAGGGGGACAGAGACACCCTGACCAAGACGGAGCTGAAGCTCCTCATTGAGAAGCAGCTTGCCAACTACCTGAAGGTGAGTGGAGGCAAAGCAGGGCTTCTGGTGGCCCATGGAGGGAGGGAGCTGGCCAGGACCCCATTGCCTGATGAATAGGATCTCAATTCACTCCCTTCCCACTGTTCTCCTGCCTGGACCCTCCCTGTAGGGCTGCCACCTTCCAAACATGCTCCATAAAGGTGGATGAAGGAAACCCAACCGTGTCTGGGTGAACCTATGGGCATATATGAGCCCTCATCACCTTACCTGGGAAAATCAGGGGTCCTGTTGGCATCCAGGAGCAAGGGTGTCAGAAATAGCAGCCCAAAAGTGAATGATCAATTCACATTGCTAAAGCAGAAGGTAAAATGGGTTTAGGCCAACTGAAGGGGAGGTTTGTGGCAGATATAACCTGCATAGGGCTCCTCATTGCCCGGTATCCTGGCGCTGGTGTTGGCCTGTTGCTCTCCAACCTTCTTCTGTACCCCAAGCAATGGGTGATGGTGATGGCACCAGGGTGGAACCACTGTCAGCGCTAGGTTCTTGGGGACCTGACCCCTATGAGGGTCCCAGCAAGAGGCTTGAGCTGTGGACTTTGCCCTCACCCTGCTCTTCCTTTGCAGCACGTGAGAAGCAAGGCCACCATTGACGAGATCATGAAGGACCTCGATATGAACAAGGATGCGCAGCTCAGCTTCAGCGAGGTGATGCTGCTCATCACCCGTGTGACCATTGCCACCCATGAGCATCTCCATGACGTCGAGAACCAGCAGCAGCAGCAGCACAAGCACCAACACCACCACTGAGGTGGGCTGTGGTCCATGGCCAAAGGCACCCAAGGAGTGCTTGCAGCCCCTGGCTTTCTCCCCCCCGTCCTTCCCTTCCCATCTCCCTCCATCCCTTCCCTTCAAGTGTGATGGTTTTGCTGCCAAATAAAGATGAGCCCCGAGGCTGTCAAAGCTCTTATGTGTGTTTGCATGGGTTTTCCTTGAGGTCCTGCACCCTGCTCTCTCCCAGCATGGCTCTCAATGGGCCTTGGAGCCAGGTTGCAGGTGGACGTTGGGAAGAGTAGGGTTTGTTGCTCACTATGTTTCTCACATTACTGCTCCGAAGCTCAGGCTGTATGAATTGGTCTTTCCATTTCCAGCTAGGAAAACAAGCCTGTTTTGGCCTGAAAACACCCTGTGCATCTCCTGAGAGTGAGTTGCAAAGAGCTGGAAGGAAGGAGAAGGGTGGAAGAATGCCTTTTCCTGGAGGACCACCCTTTTTTAGGGCACTTCTGCTTTGCATGAGGCTGGAAGGGAGCTGGGGGTGGATGTGCTCAGTTCTAATGCAGCAGCCAGCAGCACAGTCCGGTTCCTTGTGAATGAGAGCTGAGACCAGCCTCACTCCTCACTCAGAGCATCCCCTTAGGACGGGTTTGGTATTAAGAGCTGCTTTCAGTGTGGGGCTGGGAATGTCTCTGAGAAGCCTTGTGCTCTCTGTGCTTAGAGCCTGGTACTGATTTGCAAGCGTCCTGTAGAGGATGGGGAAAAGGAACGCTGGGGATGTCCTAAGGCCCTGAAATGACCCTGCTCTGGGAAGGAACCTGCCACGAGCTTCCCCAAAGCAGCAGCCCTGAAGCAACCCCTTTGGTTAACCCAAGGCAGCCGCAGGTTTGCTTCACCACCGCCGGCCCGGTTGCTTCAGCTTCCTTTGGAGTCGGTTTTGACATCTTGAGGTCTCAAACACCTTCAGACCTCTGATCTCTTCAGCAGGGGCTGCAGCTATAGGATAAGGGGCAAGGGGTTCAGAGTGAAACAAGGGAAGTTCGGGCTGGAGATAAGGAAGCTCTTCCCTGTGAGGGTGCTGGGACACTGGTATGGGTTGAATGGAGAAGCTGTGGCTGCTCCATCCCTGGCAGTGCTCAAGGCCTTGGAGCAAGCTGTTCTAGGGGAAGGGGTCCCTGCCCATGGCAGGAGTTGGAACTGGATGATCTTGAGGTCCTTCCCAACCCAAACCATTCTATGGTTCTATCTGCAGGCCTCAGAGTGCACTCAGCTCTGCCTGAGCCTGCCCAGGGGGGCAGGTCCCTGCTGCACATCAACATGGGAGATGCACCCCCTCCTGCAGCACTTCAGGGGCTCTGGAGCAGGTAAGAGCTGAGATGGTTCATTGCCACCACCCTGCCAGGGCAGAAAAGCATCACCTCCGGGAACAGGGCTGGCCCAAAGGAGCAAGGCTTCCCCCAGGACCCAGGCAGGAACCAGTTTCAAAGCATATGGTGTTGATGCAACAGGATGTTTGCCACCACAACCTGGGCTTTGTGCTGTCTTGAGCAGGGTGCAGGACTCCTCTTGTGTCACGCAGGGGGGTGATGGACCACCAGGCCAGGGGAAGCAGCCACCACCCACTGAGTGCAGCAGCACTGGGGCACCAGTGCAGGGCTGTGAGCAAGCAGACGGTCCTGCAATAGCAGAGCTGTCCCCAGATCTGCACACATCCCTTTCATCCCAACAGGTCCTGAGCACAGAGGATGCCAAAGTGACACAAGCAAGCATCATGGAAGAGTTTGGGTTGGAAAGGGCCTTAAAGCTCCTCCAGCTCCAACCCTTGCCACGGGCAGGGACCCCCTCCACTGGAGCAGCTTGCTCCAAGCCCCTGTGTCCAACCTGGCCTTGAGCACTGCCAGGGATGGGGATGCTCCATCAGCTCCACATCTCTCCTGCTGCCCCAGAGCTGGACACAGGATGCAGGGGCTGTCTCAAGGCAGTATGTCAATGAGACAGCCCTGCTTGGCCCCATCGCATCCCCATCCTTGCAGACCTGGTGCACCCAAAAGCATCTCAGTGCTTCACGGACAGCACTGCCATTGTGACAGGGGCACAGAGCTGGTGCTGAGGGCGATGCCCTGGTGCTGGGGAGCCATCCCCTGCCTGCAGGAAGCAGCTCTTTGAAAGGCAAATAACACAGGGCAGGTTCCCAGCTTTGTTTCAGCTCCTCAGCTTAGCAGCAGCCAGTGCCAAAGGTGCTTTGCTCGGTGCTGTGCAGAGCAGGCGCAGCTCAAAGGTCTATTTTTACCTTTGAAGACCATGTCCTCACTTTGTACCTTATTTCCCTGGTGTTTCCCTGTGTTGCAGACACCCAAGGCAGGCTCTTATTGAGGGTTAACCCCGGCTGGCAACGAAGCAGCTAAATTGGGAGCAAAACCGGATTTTCCAGTGCTTCTACATTGGAATGTTCTGCTGTTGATTCAGCCTGGGGGGTTGTTTAACCTGCCAGACACGATGCTCCTCTCAGACACAAAGAGGAGGTGAAAACAGGGCGATGGACAAGCTCTGGGTGCTCCATGAGGGGCTGCACTGTGCAGGGAGATGGGGGGATGCAGCTGTGAGTGGTCCATCCTTGTGACCCCACGAACCTTGCTGGTTGGGGTGCACGTTTCACAACAGGAGGGCTTTGATGCCCTGGAGAAGGGCTGGGCTGTTTCCCAACAGGGACCATCTGCTGGGTTGCAGAACTCTTGTAGCAACTTCAGGAAATGGCATTTTGGGTCGTTTTGAGCATCCTGGAGGAGAGGTTCTAGGGGTGGGATGGGTCAGGGGGTTCCAAAGAGTGATGGCGACTGGACCATCAGATGTGCCCACCAGGCAACAGGGATGAGACCCTAAGGTGGCCATGGAGCTTGGCCGTTGCTGAGGGTCACAGGAGCACGGTCTAGCCCTGTCTTCTTGCAGGGGGAGCTTTCCTGTGTAGCTGTGCCTGTGAGCAATGCAGCAATGGCCCCAAGGCTGACAGCGCTGGGCAAGCATCCACTTGCTGCCTGGAAAGGGAAGGAGCAGGAAGCAGACATCAGGATGCAGCTGGGTAGACACGGAAAGAGCTGGTTGGAGGTGACTGGGATTGGTTGTGCCCCGAGGAAAGAGCTGGTTGGTTGCAAAACTCTTTCAAAAGAGCCATTTACGGGCAAGCGGCTGGTTGATGCGGGAAGAGGGCACGGCAGGGTTGGTCACCATGGGCTTTGCTGTGCTCAGCCCAGGATCATGGTAAGGCAGGAGCTGGGCCTGGAGAAGGCTCTAAGGGGATCTGATCCATGTGTACAAGTATCTTAAGGATTGGGCCAGGTTGGGTCTGGTTACTAGATGTGGTTTTAGCTTGGGAAGCCAAGGGAGGTACCCTGAGCTCCTTTGAGCATCATCAGAGCAGCGATGTTCCAGCTGCCACCCAGCACATGCAGCCCCTGCAGGAGCTTTCCTCATCCTGGAGCCACAAGGTAAAGGGTTTTCCAAGCCTTTAGCTCAAGCCAAAAAGCATCTGTATACGTCCCAGCCATAGCAAACAGCTACAAACTGCTCAGCAGGCACCACCTTGGTCCTTGGGGTGGTGGTACCCAAGCATTCATTGAGGAGAAGAGCTGGATTACAGCATATTTAGAACCCAGAAAGGTTTTTGTTGGTGCTGGAAGACATCTCCTTGGTGACTTACCCAGGGATAAGATCCTTGTGCCCTCCAGGAGCTCATCAGCAATTTGGTGAGATGGAGCCCATTGGGCATCTCATCCTGACTGGGTAGCAAGTGATGGAGCAGGGTTGGGAGGGAGCACGCCAGGTCACTTTTCTGTGTGGGAAAACTCTGTTTTCATTGGGATTTAGGGGGGAAAAACCCCAAAATCTTGGAATTTCCTATGGAGCAGAAGCTCTACATACAGATACTGATAAAAGAGCTTGTTGTTGTGGTAAGGGCTGTGTCCTGTTGTGAACTCCTGTTGTCATGGGTATTAATGCTCAGAGGCGATTGCGCATCCTGAGAATGCACTTGGCACAGCCAAGGGGAAAAAGCTGCATGAGGAGAGCAAACAGGAGGTGCTTCCTCAAGCTGGGCTGGCTCTGCCCTCCCCAGCCCATGCACAACACTTCCTTTGCCTGGAGAACCTCTAATACACCTCCTTCATGCTGCAGGTCATGAGTAAAACCCTTGTGGACCTCAGGCAGTGTCTTGTGCTGCCCTTCTGGCCATTAACACCTTCCTAGCCCATCAGCTCGGCTCAGACACTGAGCAGCACAGCTCCTCATCTCAATCGTAACCCCATTCCTTTATGGGCTTTTTGGGTACCTCATTTGGGCATTTAGCTCCAGCAGGACCACGCATTCTCTGCAGTGGTGCCCATTAGATAGGTACAAAAGGGAGAGCTGAGCTAGGGTCTCAATGAACACCAAGTGATACTTTATTGTCTCACAAGCACGAGTGATCCAAGCAGACAGAAAGCAGGTAGAGCCCAACTCCTACAAGCCACCCCCTCCCAGTCTTCATGGAGGCTCAGTCCTTGTCTGGTGTGCAGCGGTCATCGTTGTGGATGATGCGATGGGCATCATCAGTCACCTTGGCCAAGACGATGGTGAACTCCTCGAAGCTCAGGTCCTTGTCCTTGTTTATATCAGTCTCTTGGAAGAGCTTATTCAGGTAGTCAGGACGGTTCCTGTCCTGCAATTGGGCACAGGACATGTGTTAGAATACCCCCACCCTGGGCTGCACAGCCCCTGATGGAAACCAGCTTTGTTGTTCCATGACCCTGGAAGCTGCAGGATCACCGTGACCCTCTCCTACCTTGCATTTAGCCCCTAGATAAAGCTCTAGATGGACATAGAGCCCTTTCTAAGCTCTACACCCCCACAACATCAGAGGAATGGGCACCCACAGCACATGGACAAGCTGGGTCTGTGGACCACAGCCATGATGGGGACTGCACCTCATCCCCCAAGGAGCATCCCTGGAGGCAACCTCAGCCTCATCCCACTCCAGCCTCCCAAGGAGAGCACAACACGGCTCCTGAACACTCACACAAGCTTGCAGGAAGGTGGGTGCCTGCTCAGTCATCAGCTTCTTGAAGTCATTGTAGTTGAGGAGGTCAAACTTGCCCTCCCGGATGCTGTAGCGGTGGTAGACATCCACAATGGTTTTCAGGGCCTGCTCCAAAGAGCAGTTTCCAGGGAAGTGCCGAGTCTCAGGAGAGGTGTTCTTGGGCTGGGTGCTCACAGACATGGTGGAGGTCTTGACAAACTGTGTGGAGAAACCCCCAACCTGTGAGATGCATCCAAAACCCCATGGCGTGACCTTAGCCAGCACCCCAGGTGCCCCAAGGGATGTGCACCAGGAGCACGGCAATAAGTGGGTTTAGAAGTATCACTGCTTCACAGCATCACCCAAACCACCTCTAGTTTTAGGTTCAGCCAAGGAGCAGCTTGTTCTTCCCAACCTGAAGGCATTTGTCAGGCACATCAGACAAACCCATGAGGCTGCAGTCATGTATCTGCATCATGCTACAGACAGAGACAATGACTTTAAGGCGAGGAGCATGGTTCAGGTACAGGCTCCATTGCAACCTCAGCCTCATCTCCTCCTCATCTCCTTCTGAATTTCTTTGCATTGAGACAAATGCACCTCCACTAAGGGTGGCATGGAAATGCCATTCATTTATACTTATCTTGTAGCCAAAACCAACCTCCTACACTGTCCAAAGAAGAAACCATCACCTTGGAATGAAACAGGCATGGAATGACATCCCACACTCCAAATCACGTCTCCCCTCACCCTCTTTCCTGCAGGAGCCACCGCAGTGTTACTTACCCTTATCTCCAAAGAGGCTTTGCAGAGGATGGGTCTGTCACAGTGATCGAAGAGCCTCTGCAGACCTTTTATATCAGTCTGAGGTCCTCTTTCATCAGAGGTGGTGACACACCTGTGGCAAGCATCAGCTTGAGTTAGCATTTCCCGGACCTGGAAATTGCGAGGTGGGAACGCATGAACCCTTCCCCACCTCATACCTCTGCACCTTGTTCCTGGTTGCACCCACCAGCCTGGGGAAATGTTGTCCTTCCACCCCACCATCGCCTCTGACAGGGCTGAGCTGCTCCTGTGCTGGGCAAAGAATGGGGACAACACTGGACGTGCCCCCTCCATGAGCACAAAGGGCAAGTCCAAGGCTTTCCAAGCCTCACAATGTGCTGTGTAGAGGAACTGTTTCATAGAGACGTGGTTGACTTTGTCCCTTGGTTGGTTTTAACTTGATCTTTCTGTTTTATACCACAAATAATTGGTTGGACACAAGCAAAGGTGAAGGCATCATCTACCGGGTTGTTTTCCAGTGTATTTGCCATTGCTTTCTGTTTTCACATCACTTGGACCAGGCTTTTCCACTTGCTCCAGCAACTTGGTGGAGAAAGAGGAATATCTGAAGTCTTTAGGGTCTTTAGAGGCCACAGCATTGAGTAGCAAGTGTTGTGCAATGGTCACCTCTGCCACCCATCTTGCGTTAGCAGAACAGGTACTAGAAGAATGAAGGAACTGTAAAACAATGTAAGAATAAGGTGGTAGGTGCCAGGAAGAGGGTAGGGACAGCAAAAGAAAGGGTCACCATTCCTGTTTGAGGATGCTTCTTGCGTGTCTCAGGGCCAGTATCAAGAGCTGTTGCATGAGGTCTATTCTGGGAGCCCTGACTCACTTTACTGATTTGTACTCATTAGGGACTGCCAGGAATCCAAAGCTGTGTCCTCATTCCCTTTGCAAGTCCCTCCTGCCTTTACCCTGTGCACTTGCAGAGTCCTCACATGGACAGACCCATGGGCTTCACATTTCCCAACCATGTTCCCCAAAACCCATCAGGGGATGCAGCTTGTGATGCCCAGCCCCAGAAGGGGAATGGTACCCGGGGACCCTGGAATGTCCACCTCTGGAGGACAAGGGCTGCAAGAGAGTGATCACTTGTGTCATTGAGTACACATAACCACACACTACCCCTGTGCTTCTCTTCATGGCAGAGGGGTTGGAACTGGATGATCTTAAGGTCCTTTCCAACCCAACTCATTCTATGATGTTCCACATGGGACAAGCTGCTGCTTTCAGCTGACATTGGGGGTGTCAGAGCCTCCCAAGGGTTTCCCACTCAATGCACAGTCAGGTAACAGAAACATCCAGCTTTATGGTGCAGGGATACCACCAGCACCCCAGAGCCCCTCAGCCTCGTCCTCTGCTGGGTCAGGGCTTGCAGGGTGAGCTCTGGTTGCTCTGCAGGTTCCAAAAGCATTGAACCCCCAGGATGCTGCACCCCCAGCTCCAGAGCTGGCTCTTGGGAATCACTTGGGGACTTCACCCCTGGCACATCCTGAAGCTGATACAAAGAGGGGCTGGGAGAGCCAAGGCTGAGGATGCTCTCGTGCAGGAGCTTCCCCTGTGATGGGGTTCTAGGCACCCCACTGTCTGCTGAGGCAAAGGGTGCTGGGGCCAACCACTCCGTGTAGGGACCTTGCTGAGCCTCACAAAGACAGTGGGAACACATTGGGGTTGTGACATGCTTTAGGACAGGGACCCTGTGCAGCTCAATGGGACCCAGCAGCGCTGTTGTTCTGGGAGCTGGGATCCCTCCACGCCACCTTCCCTTCCCATTCCCATTGTTTCTCCAGTTCAACCTGCATTAAACCCCTCAGATTTAACCCCTTGATGCGTGTTGCATCCTTCCTGGAGATAAGACACATATTACAGATGCATTTGGTGCTTGAAGAAAGACATTTTATTTCAATGCCATAGGTAGAAGAAAATAATGGTTACAGGCTTGTCTGTGCTGGAGGACGAATGGAAGGGACAGTGCTGCTGGAAAAGCACAATCCCATGGGCTCAGACATGGGAAGCACTTCACTTTCTGGGACCGTGGCCGTGGTCATGGTCATGGCCATGATCATGTCCATGATCATGGTCATGGCCATGGCCGGCACCATGATGGTGGTCATGTTTCCCATGGGACCTATTGTGGGCATCAATGAGGACAAGATTCAGCGTGGTGAGGAACTCGGTGAACTTGAGGCGACCGTCGTGGTTGCGGTCTGCTTTGGCAAAGAGGTTGCTGATGTACTCATCAACGGACACACTGGGCTGCAGCAGGACAAACATGGACAGAGTCAGGAAAACCCTAGGGAAAAAGAGCTCCCAGCCACCCCCATGGCCCAAGGAGGCCACTTTGAAGACTTGAAGCCTGGCCTATGCTTGGCCCTTACCGGCTTGGTGTTCTGGAGGAAGGGCTTGGCAGTCTCCTTCAGCAGCTGGGAGAACTCCGGCTTGTCCAGGTAGTCATCGATGGGTTTCTTGATGGCATACTGGTGGTAGATGTTGATGGCGCACTCCAAGGCGAGCTCCAGGTCGGTTTTCATCTTGCTAGGAAGGGACAGACAGCAGAACATCAAACCCCATCAGAACCCACTCACCCCAAAGGCACCTCCAGCAGCATGCGCTACGGAGCTGCCCTAGGCAAGGACCTACTTACCTGGGGCTGATGCCTATGGACGGTGCTGCGCGAGATGGAGCAGGAGGAGCAGTGATGCTGCGGTGCAGGGGAGGGCTCTTTTATACTCTCCCTGAGCTGTGATTTGTGACACCCTCCCATTCCCTTTGGGGTGATAACCTCGGGAATTGTGCAAGGCCACGCAGCACGCCCAGGCAGCAATTTCTTGCTCCAGGAACTGGTTGCTCCCCATGTCAATGAGGGAGGGGAAGCACCAAAACAAGGGGATGCTGAAAGAGAACACTGGGGCTGTTCCTGGAGAAGAGAATCTGCATGGGGACCTCAGAGCAGCTTCCAGTGTCTGAAGGGGGCTACAAGGATGCTGGAGAGGGGCCTTCTTCAGGGACTACGGTGATAGGTGAAGTGCTGATGGGTTCAAACTGAAACAGGGGGGTTTAGGTTGGAGATAAGGATCTTCTTCCCTGTAGGGGGTCGTGGGACACTGGGATGGGTTCAATGGAGAAGCTGTGGCTGCCTCATCCCTGGCAGGGTTCAAGGCCAGGTTGGATGGGGCTTGGAGCAAGGGAAGGGGTCCCTGCTCATGGAGCTGGATGAGCTTTAAGCTCCCTTCCAACCCAAACCATTTGCAGCACCACGGACTGGGAACACTGCAGCAGCATTCCCAGGAGCTGGGGCATTGCTGCAGAGTTTGGGGGGTCTTTGCAGCGATGATGGAAGAGGAATTGTTCAGCATCACACAGAAGGCGCTGGGAGAGGGTGTCCAATGGGGTAATGCTGTCATTTCCCAATGGGGAATGGGCTTCATCACTCCACTATTTCCCCTGAAGAGGTTGAATTTGGCTTGGAGGTGTGATGGGTGCCCCCAGCATCCCACTGGCCAGCGTATCCCCTCCATAAAGGGGAGCAGCGATCCCTCCTGAATCATTTCCAACAGCAAAGCAGGGAGCCAAGGGATTGACAAATCCAGACACAGCCAGTGCCAGGAACCCTCTTAGGAGGTGGCATTTCCTGGTAGCTGTAATTGCTGCCTGACAATAACCGAGGTCAGGGGCAATCCCTGCCCATTCCCACTGTCAGGGGGATGATGCCAACATGTGGGATACCCCGTGGTGTTCCCAGTGCCTGGCACACAGGGGATGCTGAAGCTTGTGTGTCTTGGGGTAAAGGGGAAAAGGAACCTGAGCATGCAAAAGCCCTTCATGCCAAGTCTGTGCTTGATGGGTCTGGCCCAACAAAGCCGTCAAAGGTTTTAAAGGAGGCGGTGGTGAAACATCTCCCCATGAGCTCCTAATCCGGGTGTTGGAGGAACTGATGCCAGAATAAAGCTTGCCTTGCCAAAGAGCAAGACCGAGGGGCAGGCTGTGGGATGGAGACGGGCGCGTCCTGTCCGGGAAGGGGACCCACGCAGGGCATCAGTGGGACACGGGTGCATCATCGGTGACGGGACCCGTGTGGGGAGGTGGGAAGGGATGCGCCTGTGTGATGTGGGGAGGTGGGAGGAGACGTGGCCATGGAGATCATCTTAAGGTCCTTTCCAACCACAACCATTCCATGTGTATGCTGTGGGGCAGGAAAGAAGGAACAAGTGTGGGCTGTGGGTCCTCATGCTGCCATGGAAGCCACTTAAGGGAATGCTTAGAGCAGCTCCAGTGCCTAAAGGGGCTGCAGGAAACCTGGAGAGGGGCTTGGGACAAAGGATGCAGGGACAGGACAAGGGGAATGGCTTGAACCTGACAGAGGGGAGATGGAGATGGGATCTTAAGCAGAAACTCTTCCCTGGGAGGGCAGTGGGACACTGGGATGGGTTGAATGGAGAAGGTTTGGATGCCCCATCCCTGGCAGTGTTCAAGGGGGTTGGAACTGGATGAGCTTAAATCTCCCTTCAACCCAACCCATTGTATGAACCCATTGTTCTACCCACACACTGATTGCTCCCGGCACATGCCCTGCCCTGGGGCCCACGCTCCGGTGCTCTGGGTGTTGGTATCTGCTCCATGGCTCAGTGCCCGTGGGGCTGGGATGTGGGTGCCGCAGGGATGGAGCCAGCACAGCCCCGAGGGCAGAGCAGCAGGGCGGTGAGAGGAGGGCAGGATGGGATCCTGAACAGCATCAGTGCAGCTTCAGACACAGGTCAGGCAGAAGAGAGCCAAGGGCTGCGGGGGGGTCCCTATCACCAGGGCAGTGCAGCCACATCCTCTGGTCCCAGTGAGCTGGAGGGATGGATGCGTGGTTTATTCCCTAATAGTGATGCTCGGGTGAGCGCTGGACCTCAGGAACTGAGGTTCATAGAAGAACCCCTTCACCCTCCATCTGGGGGAGCGATGGGATGAGCTTCAACCCCAGTCTCGTGGCAAACCAGCCCTTGTAAAGGTGAGGATGCAGCGCCTGAGTGGGAGTCCTGGGCAAGAACATCACCAGCACCCAATAGGATCCATCAGTGGGGACATGAGCACCCCCCCAGCAAGAGCAAGAGCAGCCCATGAGGGTTTAATCTATTTGTGGTTCACCAATGACCAGGAACGCAGCAACAAAGCTTTATAATATAGGAAAGGACAAAAAACTTTACCAAGGGTCTTACAAAAGGACCCCAAAAGGACCCCGGGACCCCTCACCCTGCCACTGGCCCAGCCCTATCTCTGCATTCCTTCAGTGCATCGCTGCAGTTCATGGCCAGGGCACCCAGGAAGGTGAAATCCTCCTAGAACTTCACTTCCTTGTCTTTGTTATGGTCCAGGTCAATCCCAAGGCACAGCTATGGGCAGCACAGGGATGGGGGGGGCATCGCTCCCTCTCCACACAGGGGGATGTTCTGCAACCCTTTACCTTGCCCTGGTGCCTGGGCAAAGCCCCTTCAGACCCAGCTCTATGGGTCTGGCCCTAAGCAGACAGGAGGTTGCCCCACATCCCCCCCATTGTGCTGCACTGGGATGTTGGAGCAAGCTGGGGCTGGTGCCTGGGGTTGACGTGGCTCCTGTCTGCCTCCATACACAGCCCCAGGGCTGGTGTGAAGGGGGCAAGGAGGTGAAGCCTTTGTGGCATCCCCATTCACCAGTGCCTCTGGGAGCAGAGGGGTGAAGCTGCCAGTGATGGACACCCAGCTGCACATCTGGAAGGGGGCACCCAGCTGCACATCTGGAAGAGGGCACCCAGCTGCACATCTGAAGGGGGCATCCAGCTGCACATCTGGACTCAGCACCCAGGGTTGCCCACAGTTGCTCAGTGGGAGCTCAGAAGGAGGAAACAGAGCCTTAAAGACATGAGCAGGAAGGCAGGGCCGTGGCTCTGCTGCTCCTTGTGTCTACAGCCTTGTGCCGAGCCGTACCCGCAGGGCTGCTTGGGTGCATGGGGAAGTCTCTGCTCTGCACGCCAGAGCCCCACCCCGAGCAGGAACGCAGGGAAACCCTGCTCCAGGAGGATTCACATGGGGGACGGACTGATTCCCAGCATCAGGTCCTGCCCTATGGGGACAGGCGCTGATCCCGTGTGATTATGGCTGAAACAAGGAGTTATTCACCCGGTAATAGTAATCCCTGTGGAAGCTCCTGCCTTGCCTGGCCACGAAGGGGTTATCAGGGCTGCAGGGCAGTGACTCACCCTAACGGGTGCTTTACAAGGGCACAGACTCCTTGTTCCCATCCGGAGCTTGGAATGCTCACACGGAAAGGAAACCAAGGAAACCGGGATTTTCTCCAGTGTCCCTGGGGCAACAACCCCCCTCCACACACACACCATTGCAGAAGCACTGGGTCGAAAGCATCCTTTATTACAAGAGCATCAGGAAGACAACGGGAGGGTCCCTGCTCACTTCCTACGCGGCATCTTATCAGGGCAGTCCTGGAAGAAGTCATTGCACATCATGGCCATGCAGGCGAGGAAGGTCACGTACTCCTGGAAGTCCACCTCGTTGTCGCTGTTGCAGTCCAGATGGTTCATGAGCTGCTGTAAACTGGCCTCACTGGCTTGTCTCTGCAAGCAAAGGGGGTTAAATGGGGTTTTGCATCCCATCTGGCCGCATCCCCGCATCCCGGGGTCCATCGTGGGATGTGGTACCCTCTGCCCCGCACTTACGCTGAAGCTGGGCAGCTCCTTGGTGAGCATCTCCTTGAGCTCCTGCTTGCTGAGCTTGTACTTGTCCCCCTCATTGCCTGAGTACTTGTGGAAGGTGGAGACCATCACGGCCAGTGCCTGCTCCAGGGGAGATGCCATGGGGAAGAGCAGCAAGCCTGGAGGCACCAACAGCACCAGTGGGTGAGAACAGAGAGCAGCATCCCCATGCACCCCCATGCCCCACAGACACTGCAGGCTCTTCAATGCCCCACTCCTGCATCACCACTTCCCCCTTAGCTTCACCCTCCCGCATTGAGTACCCCCCAAAAAAAAGCCATATTAAAGGGGAGAATGTGGGGGGGAAGCAGCTTTCCCAGCCTCCAAACTCAGCTCCTTGCAGCAGGAGCCCCGGGGGGGAAACCTCTATAGGAGGACCCCATTGTGGGATGGGGCAGATGCGCCTTTAGCAACATCTGGAGAGCAGGATAAAGGGGGAAAAGAGGGAAGAAGCAACTCACCAACAGCTCAAAGGGAGCAGCCAAGGATGGGAAGGGCAGGATGAGGCAGCATTTATAGCCCTGCCTGGGACGCCTCCCTCGCTGTCTGGTTGGGAAGGCACCAACGCTGATGCAGAGCCTGCCTGGACATTGGCTGGCAAAGGAGGAGAGGAAAACCCATAGGAGCTGCCCTGACCCCCCCCAGACCATCCTGTTCCTGCACTGCTGAGTAGATGGAAAGAGCACAGTGGGGTTGGATGGGGCAGAGGAGAATCCCTATGAGTAAGGGATGAAGGCAGGGGAGTGGGGGGCACCTCATCCCATCCATGCCAGCAAAGGGCAAGGTGGTTTTGGCAGCATCCCCAGGGATGTCTGAAGCCGAGCAGGGTTTACCCATGGGTTTGTTGTTGTGCTGGGGTTTGGGTTGGGAATGGGGGGGGTTTGTTCTGTTTTTAACTGGGCTGCCAGTGGTTTCTGTCTCCTAAGTGCAAGGACCGTGAGTCACAAGAGCCCCGTTGTGTAACGGGGAATGGTGCTGGTGATTGCGTGCCCCGGGCACGTGGCAAGGGGAAAACAGGAGCTGGGAGCTTGGAATCCCCTGATAAACACCCAAAGCCTCCCTGACCCCCCCGGGATAAAGAGCAATGCATAACAGGGGGCTCTGAGCCCTTTAAGAGGGGCTTGGAGCTTCCAAAAGAGAGCTTGGACACTCAAGAAGCTGCTTGGAGCCTAAATATCTTAAGCCGGAGCCTAAAACTGAAGCACTTGGATGGGAAAAGGAGACTTTGTGAGCTAAAGCTGAGCTTTGGGAGCCTGGAAATGAGGCTTCAGAAGGGTGAGAGAAAACGGGATGAAGCCCCCCCCAAGCCAGGGGGCTCTTTAAGGACCATATTGGCAAGAGAAAGGCACAAACCTAAACCCCATCCCTCTATTAACCAGTGCAAAGTGGTGTAAATCACTGCAAGGGGCTCTTTATAAAGAGCCTGGGAAGGGGCAAAGTGAGGTTTGGGGCTCAGGGAGGACTTTGGGGTCTTCTTTACCATGCGATGCTATGGGGTTTGATGGATCTAGGATGGTTCCTTTGGGGCTATGGGGCAGGCTGGAGAGGGGCTGCAGCATCGTCTGCTGCGGCCGTGGGTGGAAGGGGGCAAACCCTGAGCTCTACAAGCGCTGTCATAGCCTGATGTGCTCACCATGGCCCCATGGGGGGGCTCAGGGTGATCCCTATGGGTTTATCCATATCCCCAGGGTCTCCTTTAGCTTTTCCCTGCAGGATGCGCTCTGGCTTCTATGCTTTGCATGGCCCCTGCATCTTGCTGTGGTTCCTCCAGCCCTGCTTCCCCTCCCCAAACCCAATGGGAGCTTGTGCTGAGCTTTAAGCCAAGCCAGGCTCAGGGGAGCTCGGTTTTGACCCCAACATGCATTAAGCCTCTCCCCAAGCCAGCAGGATATCCCAATCCATTGCCCGGAGCCAGGGCTGGCTTTTCCAATGGATGCTTCCTGGGGCTTAGTCGCGCCATGGAAAACCCCAGGAGCAGGAGGAAGATGTGAGTCACCCCAAGCACAGAGCCAGCCTTTGGGAAAGCCTTTATTGGAAGCCCCATTGGGATCACTTCTTGCGGTGCTGCTTGGAGGGGCAATCCCTGAAGAACTCGTTGAAGCCCATGGTGATGCAGGCCAGGAAGCAGACGTACTCCTTGAAGTCCACCTCGCTGTCCTTGTCGTGGTCCAGGTCGTTCATAAGCCTCTTGAACTCGGCATCATCCATTTGCTTCTATAGGAGGGGGGAAAGTGGGGGTTTGGGGTGCATGGATGAGTGAGGTGCTCCCCATCCAGCCCCACTGTTCACAAGGAAGGGTGTGAAAGCCTTGGCTTCCATCCCTATGGGTTCAAGGAGAAGGAAAGGGCCTTTAGGGATGCAGGTGGATACTGAGATGTGGGGTGTGCTGGCATGGGTACAGCAAATGCGCCTCTTGGGCAAGAAGGAGCTGGGCTAAAGCACCTCTCCTCCCATTTTAAAGGGAATTAAGGGTTAAGCCCTGTATAAAACAGTGAAATTGGAGCAGGCTTCTCTCTGCCAAGCAAAATATTGGTGTGAGCACAAGAAAGCCAAGTTTCCTTCGGGTCTGAGTGTGCTCCAGCTCAGGTTCTCCTGGCTTCATCCTGCCTTTTGTGATGTACAGGGACAGGACAAGGGGGAATGGCTTTAAACTGAGAGGGGAGGTTAAGATGGGATCTGGGGCAGTTCTCCCCTATGAGGGTGATGGGGAGCCGGAATGGGATGATGGAGAAGCTGCCCCATCCCTGGCAGTGCTCAAGGCCAGGTTGGACGCAGCTTGGAGCAACCTGCTCTAGCAGAAGCTTTAAGGTCTCTTCCCATCCAAACCATTCCATGGCTCCACACGGGCTGCACCCCTCGGGCAGGGATGCACAGATCAGTGTGATCCATGGAAAGACCCAAGGCTGGTTTGCACCCACCCCTACAGCCCCTACAGCCAAGGGATGCGTCCCCACACTTACGCTCCCAAAGACGGGCAGCTCCTTGTTGAGCAGCTCCTTGAGCTCCTGCTTGCTGAGCTTGTACTTGTCCCCCTCCTTGCCCGAGTACTTGTGGAAGGTGGTGACCATCACGGCCAGCGCCTGCTCCAGGGGACACGCCATCGCCAGCCTCCTGTGGGCCTGCAGGGCAGAGCACCGGCGATGGGGTCAGCATGGGGACGGGTCCAATTCCCAGCACCCCGATGCTGATGATGCCCAAGCGAGGATGCTGCAGAGGGGTAGCAACAAGGGGTGATGGAGGAGGATGGGGAGCAGAGACTCACCAGGGACCAGGCAGCAGTGAGGAGTCCGGATGCTGCAGCCGGGGCTCGATGGGCATTTATAGCCCAGCTGTGGTGGCACAGCCCATGGAGCCCCCTTGCCTCCGGGCTGTTCCATGCAGGTGCTCTCATCCACACCTCATTTTTGCCTACTGAGCCGAGTGATCCCATTAGGAAGAGGTGGATGGGTTTGGGTGCTGCTGGGGGAGGCTCCAGGCCCCATGGGGGAGGCTGGGGATGGAGGCACAAGCAAAGGGGATGGGGCATCTCAGCCCATCTCCTCCCTTGTAGTGATGGGACAAGGGGGAATGGGTTGAAACAGGAACAGGAGATGTTCAGGCTGGATATAAGGAATTCTTCCCTGTGAGGGTGGTGGGACACTGGAATGGGTTGAATGGAGAAGCTGTGGCTGCCCCATCCCTGGCACTGTTCAAGGCCAGGTTGGATGGGACTTGGAGCATCCTGCTTTAGCGGAAGGGGTCCTTTCCACTGGGTTGAAACCAGATGAGCTTCAAGCTCCCTTCCAACCCAACCCATTCCATGGATCACTGCACTGTCCCCCACACCAAGGGGTCCCTTTCCAAGCCAGATGGTCCCAAGCACCCCCCGAATGCAGCTTAACGTGTTCCACAAGGGTCTGGGGAGGTGACAGTGCTTTTATTCAAGCCATAGGGCTCAATGCTGCCTGGCTTCAGTGTAGAAGTCAATGCAGAGCGTGATAAAGCACCCCATTGATGTCCATGGTGTTTTCCTTGTCCTCCGAGTCCTTCATCCTCTTGTTCCTGGCACAGGGCACCAGAGGAGCCATGGCACCAACCTCAGTGAGTGGCTTCGGCAGACGGGGGGGGAACGGGACCAGTTTCAGGTTCAGAGCCCTTCCTTGCCCCCCAGGCCTTCCCCAGCGGTGGGGAGAGATGGGATGAGCCCTGTACCCGTGCAGCCCTGTCCCTGACCCACGCATCCCCTCCTGCTTGCTCCAAGCAGCGGGAATAACGTGCCTGAGGGGATGATCACCCAGCGTGGACACAGGGGTTGCTCAGATCCCAGCCCCGCTGCCTGCATCCTGCACAGGGAAAGCGGGGGGGCACATCCTGAGCTGTTTCCATCCAGTCCGCAGCCAGGAATGGGGAGCTGGGAGCTGCCTGCCCCTCACCCTGAGGGTCTATCCCGAATCCCTGCGATCCCGGGTGAGCAGTGGGTGCAGCCCCATCACCAGCCCGTGAGTCACCAGCCCTGCCCTCGCCCAGCGGGATTCCTGCTCCATGACTCAGCCGCAGCCCTGCCCATCACCGCATCCCATGGGAACACCCCCGGTCTGCCCCGGACCCGCGGTGCTGCTCCCGCTTCGGGTGGGAAGCGGAGGGGGAATGGGGCTGGAAAGGGATCCCGGCTCCAAGGGGCTCCCGTGGGATTGGGGCTCATGGGGGGGCGATTCCCTGCTCACAGAGCCAGGGATGAGCCCGATCCCAGTGGAAAATCCCCAGCAGGCGCCAGGGCTGCTGCGCTGGGCTGATGCCAGCTATGGGGACATCACAGGGATGCACTGCAGCGCGCTTCCCACCGGGATATCCCGGCGCAAGGAGGGCCACGGAGCCTTTCCCATCCCGTGGTGATGGGGATCTCAGCGTGCCGAGATGCATCCCCAGCGCACCCCATGGATGTGGGGCAGGCAGCGGATAGATGCGGGGCTGCGGCACCCGGATGGACCCCTCAATGGGGACATGAAGAGGGTTCCCCCCATGGTGTGGGGCAGCAGCATCCGCGCCCAGCGCCGCAGGCAATGGGTTTGGTGCTATGGGGCTGGGAGACAGCGGTGTCTGCTGACACCTTGTGGTGGCTCGGGGGCTACGGGGGGAGGACAGAACCCCCCCTCGGCCCCACACGTGTCCCCAGAGCGCATGAGGGAAGGCAGAGCCTGAGCATCACCCGCTGCTCCTCCGTTCTTTATTGCTGCAATAAATAACCCCGGGTGGTGCTGGCCGGACGGGACCGCGCCGCTCCCCGAGCCCTAAGGACACCAGCAGGGCAGAGCCTTCACCAGCTTGGGCAAGGGGAAAGGCACCCTTCATCCCATAGAGAAAACCCCATCACTTGGAAGGGGGGCCGGGCTGTGATGGGCTTTGCGCCCCGCAGGGCTGAGAACGGACAGAGCTCATGTCCTGGATGAGGAGAACCCATTGCTTCTTGCCCAACCGGGGCTTGTGGGTGAGGATGAAGGCAGGGATAGCACGGCCCAGGGCCCCCAAAGGCTGCCATGGCCTCGCACCCCCCAACTCCCACCCCATCACACCCTGGCGTGGCTCTGGGAGACCAGGGTGCTCGGGGGCGAGCTGGGGCTCGGGGCAGGGCTTAGCAATGGGATTGGGGGGGGAGAAGCAGGGAGCTATGGAGGAGCGGGAGGTGATGCTGGGGGCTTGGCTACTTGGTGTGCTTGACGCTCTGCTCCTGCTGGCGGATGATCTGGGCGATGGGGCTGGCGATGCCGCCTATCAAGGTCCAGTACTCCTCGAAGCTGATGCGCCCGTCCTTGTTCTCATCCAGGTCACAGATGAGCTTATCGGCCGCCCGGCGGTTCCCAGTGTCCTGAAGGGGAGGAGACACGGAGAGGGCTCACCCCAGGACCAAGGGGGATGTGGGGCTGGGGGGGGGGACACCCCATGAACCCAAGCTCACCGTGAGCATGTGGTTGAGCTCGCAGCTCAGCATCTTGCGGAAGTCCTTCTTGCTGATGCGCCGCGGCTTCTTGCAGCAGCAGCGGCGGCTCGAGTACTTGTCAAAGTTGTTCACCAGCACCTGGACGGCCCATTCCAGCTCCGTGCACTCGGCCATGGCTGCCTGTGGGGCGGGTTAGGGGTCAGGGATGGGGATGGGGGAGCCTCCATGGGCTCATCGTAGAGGAGAGCAGAGGAGGAGGCTCTGGAGCTGGGCTGGGTCAGCCTGGAGAAGAGAAGGCTCCTGAAGGGGAGATCTTAGAGCAGCTCCAGTGCTGGAAACCTGGATTGGGGCTTTGGACAATGGGATGCAGGGACAGGACAAGGGGAATGGCTTTAACCTGCCAGAGGGGAGATGGGATCTTAGGATGCTCTTCCCTGTGAGAGTGGTGGGAGTCTGGGATGGGTTGAATGGAGAAGGTTTGGATACCCCATCCCCGGCAGTGCTCAAGGAGCACCCTGCCCCGGTGGAAGCTGTCCCTGCCCATGGAGCTGGATGAGCTTCAAGCTCCCTTCCAACCCAACCCAACCCATTCCCTCCATGGGGATCACCGCAAGCCCCAACACAGGCAAACCCCATCCTCTATGGAAGGGCTCCATAGAGCCAGCAGTGCCCATGTGCAGGCGCTGCTCCGTGCACCCGCCCCACACCATCAGCCCCTCCTGCCCCTCGGGGCGGCCGCCTCCATGCAGTCATTACAGCACCGGGGCTCCGTGGGGCCGCGGCTTCCCAGGGCTCCGTAGGGAGGCGCCGTGCGCTGGGATGAGGGCAGGAATTACCGGCCAGCCCTCCTCTTGCTTCACCGCACCGGGAACACCCTGCCCAGGGCAGGTCTGGATCTGCCCGAGCCCCCCCAGCCAACAGCATCCCCATAGCCCGGCTCCATTCCTGCCTCTCTGCTCGATGTCCCGGGTCCCCTTTCTCTCTTCCCGGTGGGCTCCAAGCTCGTTCCTATGGATGGACCCAACAGGATGGGCCTCGTCACGGGGCCGGAGGCCGCATCCTGCCCAGGATGCAGGCAGGGACGGAAACGGCGTCACCTTGTCCGGCCTCGGCTCTTTCCTGCCCTGCCGATGGCAGGGAATGGGCTGAGCTGGGAATGTTGTTCCCATCCATTCCAGTATCCATGCTGATCTACACCAGCCCATGGCCACCATCACAGCAGTGGAGGAAGCCAATGGGGCAACACGAATGGCCCCAAAGGGGTGACCCAGCACGTTCCATGCTCCGGGGCATCATCCACGAGGGTGTCTCCATCCTGGAAGCAGGCAGGACCTGCCCCGTGCCCCAGACTTGCCTCGGGTCCCTTCTCCCTTTGCACTGATCCTCCCCAATCCAGCTCCAGGCCGGGGACGTCGGCACCTCAGGGTGGTGACAGGAGACGTGAGGCTCATCCCTGCCTCCCTTGGCGTGGCTGGGAGCCTTCCCGAGCCATCCCTGTCCCCATGGAAGCCTTTGCTGTGCCTGTATCCTGCAGGACCGTCCCCAGCTTGCAGGGTACTGGGAGCTGGAGCCACTCACAGGAGACCTCCGGCCCCGACCCTTCCTCATCCCAGGCCAACAAAAGCTCAGCAGCAGCACCCTGGGTGCTGGCACCCACCCCCTGCACCCACTGGGTGCAGACCCCACACTGGAATCACCGATCCCTGGCCACCAGTATCCAGCCCATCCTCGGGGCATCGTGGCTGCTGCTTCAGTGCTGACTCACAGCTCCAGCCATTGCCTGCATCCCGGCCCCACCACGAGCCCCCGAGGCCAAGCAGGGACATGGGACATTGTCCCCATAGGGGGCTGCCCGTGGACCCCTTCTTCCTTCACCTCTGCCTCTTCATCCTCACACACTCACCAGTGCCCAAAGCAGGAGGCAAATATCCCTATTCAAGGGCCCCCCCCATGTGCTGCCCCTCCATAGGCAGCAGAGCTCGATGGAAGCTGCTGAGCCCCACACTGGACCACGCACCCCCTTGCACCCATCGGGTCCCCTCCCCATGCACTCGGAGCTGCCGAAGGGCTCAAGGGGATTCCAGCACCCGACACGCACCAGCACGTCCCTGGTTGAACATTCCCAGCCCAGTATCCCGATGCTGGCTCCCTGCTCCCCACCTCAGCGCCCGCGTGGGTCCCGCTGTGTCCGTCTGTCCCCGCTCCTCAGCACGGTCAATGGGAGCCGACGGCACCCGCTCTCTGCTCACCTTGCACCCATAGCACGGGGCCCAGCAGGGCTTTTAAAGGGGCTCCCACCCCTCCCTGACGTTCCCGGGGCGTTCCCAGGCTGGAGCTCACCTGGGAAATGGCTCCGTGCGATTGCAACACCCAAGACGGGTCGGTGCGAGCAGGGACGCGCAGCAGGACCCGGCTCCGGCTCCTTCCCATGCATGGAAGAGGGGCGATGGCTGAAGGACCCCATTATGGGGAAGGGGTGGTGGGCTCCCACCCAGCCACGCACCACCCTAAAACCCAGCTCCTCCATCCCCTGGTGCATCCCCATCACCCACCCTTACTCCAAACCACCCCCTATGGGTCTGGTGTGGGACAGGAGCTGCCCCACAAGGTGAAGACATCACTTATTTGAACCAAAACCACTTGTTTTCAAGGGTGCAAGGGGCTGAGGCTGCTTTTTGGGGTGCTGGGAGCATCAGCACCAGCCCCTAGCAGGGTTTTCTCCGGGTCTCAGCCATCCCTATGTGTACTGGGCCAGCTAAAGCTCTTCCCCCCCGGTAGCTGTGCTTGTGTAGTCACCTCCATAATTAATTGTCCCAGCAAATTGTACCCTTGTACGTCTACCAGCGCCATGGCGCAGTGATCTGATGCCAAGATGAGATAGGGGCCTTATTGGGAGCTGCCTATTTAAGGCTGCGCAGGAGGAGGTGATCTATTCCGGGCAGGAGCTACCTGCTCAGAGGACCTTTAGGGACACCCCACATGTGTCATCACAGAGGCTCTCCACCGCCTTCCTCCTAATCTCGGTTGGGAGGAAGCAACCGGCTCTCGACCGCGATGCTCCCGTATCGTTGATGCAACATCCCAGGAGGGTGGGAATCCCTCCCGGACCCTGCAGGCAGACAGCTCACCTCTGAATCACGGCCTCTCATTATCCTCCTGGGCCTGGCAGATGTCACAACCGCATCCAGGCCCTGCTTTTTACAAGGCATCCAGGGCGTGTGCGGGAGCCCGGAGCAGCCACGTCCCATCCGGAGCCATCACAAGGCACTTCCCCATGGGGTTGGGGCTCCCCGTTGGTGCCCACCAGGGTCAGGAGCACTGCTCCATGGGAAAGGGGTGACAACAAGACACCAGTCTTGGGGTCTTTGGTGATGGTGCTCCCAGCATGGACAACGCATTGCATGGCGTTGCCCTCATGGTCAACACCGGCTCCCCAAGGGGCACCGACCACCTTTGGCCTGAGCTCTTCCTCCCACCTCCAAGGGTTTTCCATCTGCACCCGGTCCTTATCAAGGCTGCCTCACGCTGCAGGAATTCCCGAGCTCCCAGCAGCCCCGTCATGCCGAGGAGCCGGTCTCCCAACCACAAATGGGAGCCAAGAGTCCTACGGCACGTTCCCAGCCTGGTGCTGGGGAGAAGCTCCCAGAGCCTCGGCTCCCCTTCTCCCCCCATCATCACCCCAACCATTGACACATTTCCTGTCTCATTAAGCACACACCACACCTCTCTGCTTCATTTCCATGGATTTGGTGCCCAGGCAGGGACAATAAATAGTCATTCCCGTTGTGAAATCCAGCCCAAGGTGAGAGGAGACGCGGGGTGGCCACGGCCGAGCCGCGATGTCGGCGCTGCGGCCACCAGGGCCCTGCCTCGGCTCCTATCGCGTTTGGGTTGGGTTTGTTCACCTTTGGGCTTGTCCCTGCAGCACCAACGCTGCTGAGGCCCCTCCACCAGCTCTGTTTCAGGGGTCTCCATCCCATGGAGATGCCCGCAGGCTCCCCCAGGACACAGAGCGCAGCACGAATGGTGCAGGGGAAGAGGGAAGCATCCCTTGTACCTCGCAGCATCCCTTGTACCCCCACAGCATCCCTTGTACCCCGCAGCATCCCTTGTACCCCCACAGCATCCTTTGTACCCCGCAGCATCCCTTGTACCCCCACAGCATCCCTTGTACCCCCCAGCTGCCATTGTACCCCCAGCATCCTTTGTACCCTGCATCATCCCTTGTACCCCACAGCATCTCTTGTACCCCCACAGCATCCCTTGTACCCTGCAGCATCCCTTGTACCCCGCAGCATCCCTTGTACCCCCACAGCATCCCTTGTACCCTGCAGCATCCCTTGTTCCCCCACAGAATCCCTTGTACCCCCACAGCATCCCTTGTACCCCACAGCATCCCTTGTACCCTGCAGCATCCCTTGTTCCTCCACAGCATCCCTTGTACCTCACAGCATCCCTTGTACCCTGCAACATCCCTTGTTCCCCCCCAGCATCCCTTGTGCACTGCAGCATCCCTTCTACCCCTGCAGCATCCCTTGTACCCCACAGCATCTCTTGTACCCCTGAAGCATCCCTTCTACCCCCACAGCTTCTCTTATACCCCTGCAGCATCCCCTGTAACCCCACAGCATCCCTTCTACCCCTGCAGCATCCCTTGTACCCTGAGCAGCGAGTGATGCTCAGAGCCATGGTGGCTGCAGCCCCATCCCTCCTTTCCCCCTCTTTCCCTCTCCCACCAAGGACAAACATCATCACCCCCATCCTGGCTGGGATTTTCCAGTGTTTTCCTTTATTAATTTATACAAAACTGGTTGCAAGCTGGTAACAACCCGCCACCATCCCAGCCCCGAGCCCAGCCAGGGGCCAGCATCCCTGGAGAGGGGCAAATGGGGGAGCACCACGGTACCCCCTGGCTTAGCACCCCCAAAACCTGGCCAGGCGCAAGGCACCACGGTCCCTGCACTGTGGGAAGAGCAGGGAACAACACCCAGGCCAGGCATGGGGACACTGGTGCTGGCCCCGGAGCCTGGGTACCCCGGAGGTGCTCGAGGCACAAGGCACAGGGGTCCCATCAGTGGCAGGGGGACGAGCCCAAACATCCAAGGGATTTGGGGGGGGGGGGTGGGAAAGGAGCCGAGTCCCTCTCGCTGTGATGCTCCGGGGCTGGGGGACCTGCAACCGGAGGCTTTTCAGGGCCGGAGGTGGGATAACCCCTGGGATAAAGGCTCTGGAGCAAAGGACGGAGAAAGGCGGCTCCGGAACTGGAGCCAGGAACCCCCTTTACCACACCCTTGCTGGGGATGGGAAGGGAGGTGTCCTGATGGGAAGGAGAGGGCAGGAATGGAGCCGGCGAGGGGGATCCCTCTGCCCCGGTAGGGATGCGGGGAGGAGATGAGCAGCGCTGTGCATTCCCAGGCGCATCCCACCGGGACCAGCGCGCGCCTGCGGTGCAGAGCCTGAGGCCTCGGGCGCCTTCCCGTCCCCCTGCCACCCTTCTACTTCCTCCGGCAGCCCTTGGCTGCATCCCCCATCATGTCCCAGTACTCTCCGAACTCCAGCTTGGCTTCATCAGGGTCTCCCATGCATTCGATCTTCTCTTCCAGTGGTCCAACACACTGCAGCGGGAAGGGGGGGGAGAAGAAAGCATTGGGGTGATGGAGCTGTGGGGTCCCGCAGGCAGCCCGTGACCCCCCCCTGCCCACCCCCAGGCTCTGCTCTCACCTTCCCCAAGTGGGGCAGCTTCTGCACCACGAGCTCCTGCATCTCGTTGGGGGTCAGGTATTCCTTCTGCCCCTTCACCGCGTAGCAATGGAACTGGTTGATGACGGTCTCGATGGCGCGCTCCACGTCCGTGAGCTCCTGGCAGTCCTGAGCAGGGGAAAGAGGGAAGCCTCAGAGGGATGGAAGGCCCCGAGCAGATGTGCCAGATGTTCTACCCCTAAACAACGCCATGAGCCCCCTTATCAACACGATCCCCTTCAGCACCGATGTGAGACCCCCTCTTATAGGTGTAAGGCCTCAGTGCACAGATGCGAGACCCCCATACAGCTGCAAGACCTCTCCATCCAGATGTGATACCCCTCCATACTGGCCCGACACCAGTCTACACAGCTGCAAGACCCCTCCGTCCTGATGCCAGACCTCTCCATCCAGATGTGAGACCACTCCGTATGGATTCAAGACCCCTCCATACCAATGCCAGACCATTCCATCCAGATGTGAAACCCCACTGTACAGATATGAAACCCCACTGTACAGATGCAAAACCTCACCATCCAGATGTGAACCCCCCCATCCAGATGTGAAGCCCCATTACACAGACATGAACCCCCCCATCCAGACATCGCATCCCTCCATACAAGCTCTGCCCAGCCCTTGGGGCTCCCATACCCCTCCTCCTTGCTGTGCCCCCCATCCCTGCAGCGTTGTCACCCCCCTGCCTCTGCTTGCCCAGGCTTCTCCTTGCCCGGGGCCAGCGAGGCTCAGCCACCCCGGCGTCAACACCCAGAGCGCGCGGGGGCCGCCGCTGCCGTCCGGACTGGTTCTTCCTCTCCTTTGCACAAGCAGTGGATGGAGGCAATGAGTCAGTGCCGGGCTGGGGCTCGGAGGCAGCAGGAGCCCCATTGGGGTTGCAGAACACCCCCCCCCCCCTTTCCCAAGCAGGTTTGGGGGGGGCCGTGCCCCCGGCATCCCCATGCACTCTATAGGTAAAGCCGTGTCGGGAGGGAAACGGCGCTGATTCACTCGGCATCTGCGGTTTCCCCTTCGATGCTCTCCAACCACACCAGGCAAAGCCCATTAGGGAGCAGGCAGCGATCTTCAGAGCCTCAGCCCCAGCCAAATCCTGCTCAGGTGCAAAGGGGGTGCAAGAGGTGGGCAGCAGAGGCAAAGAGGAGCCTTTGTGCCATGGGGCATCCTTGGAGAGGTCGCAAGGAGCAAGCACGGCTCCCGAAGGCAAATCCATGGGAGCTGCCTCTGGTTCCCTGAGCTTCCAAGCGGCTCCGAGCCCAAACCAGCCCCTTGGCTCCGCCACTGGAGTCTGCCTCCAGGATGGGGCCGTGCTGCTCGGAGTCCCCCCATTCCCAGGGATGGGTCCCGGCCCTCCCATTGCCAACAACAGCATCGCTCATGGACCTTGCGCTTCTTGCGGCAGTTGCACTGGCCCATTGCTGCTCGCACGGGGTCTGCGGGTCCTCGCTGGCAGCGGTGCTGGGCTCGGGCTGTCCTCTCCAACGGGAGCTGCAGGAGAAAGCCAGGCTCAGCAATGGGCTTGGGGAGGGAAGATTCCCCTCCTTGAGCGCAGCACAAGGATGCGGTGAGCTGCCGGGACACGTCCCAGCGGGAGCAAGTCACGGCAAAGCCAATGGGAGCAGGATGGGTGCTGCTGGGAACCCCCCCCCATTCATCCCCTATGGCGGTGCTGGGTCACTCACCTGCTCCTGGGGCTGCGCCGGGTGTGCGCGGGCTGCGGCGCGCAGGGGTTTTATACCAGGGGAGGTGTGAGTGGGAGCTCCCTGCGCTCCGGCTGCGGTGTGGGGCAAGGCCTTATCCCAGAGCCTGGCCCCGAGCCAGCGTGGGGCTGGGAAACGCCTCCTTTCCCGGCCACAGGGATGGTTCCAAAGGCAAAGCCGGGATGGGTCCAAAGGCAAAGCCAGGATGGGTCCAAAGGCAAAGCCGGGATGGGTCCAAAGGCAAAGCCGGGATGGGTCCAAAGGCAAAGCCAGGATGGGTCCAAAGGCAAAGCCGGGATGGTCGGAGCCGCGTGGGAACAGCCGCTGGGTACCCCATGGAGGGGGGTTTAGGGATTCCCAGCAATGCCAGGGATTGGGAGCTGGATGCTCGGTTCGGAGCGCTGGGAGATGCTTCTCCCGCCAATGCTACCCATGATGAGGAGCGCTGATGCCATGGAGGTGCCAAGGCCACCGCGGCAGCGCTGCTGCTGGGGATGGTCCTGAGCTCCACGCCAGCCCCACATCCCTGCCACCCATGGGGGTTGCACTGAGCAGGAAGGGGTTTGTGGGGCGCAGGGGGGCAGAGGGTGGTTTGGGAAGGGCCCCATCACCACAAGAGCAGAGTGAGCCCCAGCCCACGCAGCGTGGTGGTGATGGGGCGATGCAGGTGGGTCCCCCAAACCAGATCCCCTCACTAAGAACAGCAGCGATGCTCAGGCTCAGGGGATCCTCCTTTATTAGCTGTGTGCTGGAGGAGATTCCCACCCACTCCATCACTCCTTCCTGGCTTTCTCCCTCCTTATGGCCTTTGCCAGCTCCCCCATGAGCCGCCAGTACTCGCTGAACTTCAGCTCCCCGTCCTTGTTCACATCCAGCTCCTGCATCTTCTCCTCCAGGGAGGGGACGTCCTGTGGGGAGGACAGGGGAGGCTCGGCCGTGTCCTGGTGCCCAGCGGGGTGGGAATGGGGGTGGCAAAGGAATGGGGAAGAGAAAGGGGAAGGAATGGGGAAGGGGAAAGAAAGAGAAAGGGATGGAATGAGCATGGGGGTTGGGATGGGGATGGAATGGAGATGGAGATGGGAATGGGATGGAGATGGGGATGGGATGGGGATGGAGATGGGAATTTAATGGAGATGAGGATGGAGATGGGATGGATGTGAGGATGGGATGGGATGGGGATGTAGATAGGAATGGGATGGAGATGGGGATGGGATGGAGATGGGGATGGGATGGGGATGGAGATGGGAATTTAATGGAGATGAGGATGGGGATGGGATGGAGATGAGGATGGGGATGGGATGGAGATGGGATGGGGATGCAGATGGGGATGGAGATAGGGATGGCTGGGTATGGGGATGGAGATTGGATGCGGGTGGGGATGTGGATAGCGATGGGATGGGAAGGGGGTGGGATGGAGATGGGGACAGAGATGTGATGCGGATGTGGATGTGGATGTGGATGGGGATGGGACGGGAAGGGGGTGGGCACTGGGATGAGGATGGGGGGTGCAGGAGCTGCCGCTCGCTCTTGCTCACAAATCCAAGGGTACCAGAGCAGCCCCCAGCTCCCCCCCCAGCCCCTGCCCCTCTCCTCACCTTCATCAGATGGGGCAGCTGGAGCTGCACCAGGGCCCTGAACTCGCCGGGGGTCAGGGAGCCCTTCCTGCCCTCCTGCCCCGCGTGGCCCAGGAACGCGGTCACCAGCTTCTCAATGGCCAGCTCCAGCTCGGTCAGCTCCGTGGCCATGGGGCACGGCGGCAGCACGGGGCTGAGAGGGGTCGGGGGCACGGAGGTGATGCATGAGGAGATGGGGACCCCGCTCCCCTTCCCCAGCCCAGGGCGCGGGGGGGAGCACAGCCCTTTAGTGCTCCAGTGCAATGGAAAGGGATGGGGACACAGCAGAGGTTTCCTGCTAGGAACAGTGCTCGGTGCTATTCCCTGCAGGAATTCCCTACTTACCCCTGGCTCCTGCAGGCAGAGAAGCTCTCAGCACCACCACCCCCCCCAGGGATGTTTTAGACCCTATGGAGGTTTTAGACCCTATGGGAGGTTTTAGACCCGTGTTTCCCCCTCTCCGTGCCTCAGGAATAGGGTTTCCTGTTGTAGCCGGATGGACGGAGGCACCGACGCTGCCCGGACGCACCCACGTCCTCCTCTGCTCCCTCCCCATTGTGGGCAATGGATCAAGCTCAGTGTGATGTGAACGTATCCCGGGCTCCACAGCACTGCTGGGATGCTCTGGGATGGGACCAGGATGCAGAGGGACATGATTGGACACAGCAGGTTCACACCAGCATCCCCCGAGCTCAAGCATCCCATAGGGATTGAGCATCCCGGGGGGTTCATCCCTAAGTGCATCCCTGCAGGCTGCCATGGGATTGAGCATCCCAGGGGGTTCATCCCTAAGTGCATCCCTGCAGGCTGCCATGGGATTGAGCATCCCAGGGGGTTCATCCCTAAGTGCATCCCTGCAGGCTGCCATGGGATTGAGCATCCCAGGGGGTTCATCCCTAAGTGCACCCCTGCAGGCTGCCATGGGATTGAGCATCCCAGGGGGTTCATCCCTAAGTGCATCCCTGCAGGCTGCCATGGGATTGAGCATCCCAGGGGGTTCATCCCTAAGTGCACCCCTGCAGGCTGCCATGGGATTGAGCATCCCAGGGGGTTCATCCCTAAGTGCATCCCTGCAGGCTGCCATGGGATTGAGCATCCCAGGGGGTTCATCCCTAAGTGCACCCCTGCAGGCTGCCATGGGATGAGGCCCCCAGCACCCTGCTCGTGTCCTGCCATTCCCAATGGCTCATCCCAGGCTGTGATCCTGCAGTGGGGACCCGCACGGAGTGAGAGTTGTGACTCAGCCACCCACTGGCATCACCACTATTAATAGTGGGCTTTGTGGAAATTAATTAATCCGGATTAATGAGGGGGTTGGGTCGAGCCTTTCCCCTTTAATCATGGGGTATTTATAACATGGCAGCCCTGGCACGCTTCCATCCGGGATACGCAGCAGCTCCAAACCGTGGCACCGCGGTTCCCACGGCCACATCCCATATCCCGGCACAGCTCCTTGGATCTGACCAGTGCGGGGTCACAGAGCATGGCAGAGGCATCCCGGATTCCCTGCATGCCATGGGGAGCGTCTCCATGGGGTTATCCCCATCTCCATCCCAGCAGAGCGCATGGGAAGGGGATCCCACCCCAGCAGTGCTCTGGGGACCCACAGAGGTCCTGGCACTGCTGAGCCCGCACCTCTCCATAGGGATGGGGATGGGCGGCCCGGTCCCCACCCCGCAGCCGTCACACCAGCTCACGGGGCAGGAATTGGCTTCCTGCAGCCCCATCCGGTCCATCCCCTTCCCGGGATGATGGGGGACATGGGGACGGGACTTCCGCTGCGCCCCACGTCAGGGGACAGGGATGGTGGCTTGGGAAAGCTCCGGGGTGAGTCAGGGACGGGGACAATTGGGGTGAATCAGCGGCCCCAAGAGCCAGGCGGGCCCGTGACTCCCTGCCTCTGGAATTCGGGGTGCCAGGATGGGGCGAGGAGCTGCAGCAGCCCCGCAACAGGATGCGGCCAAGTCACAGGCTTGAAGTGGGGATCCCTGCTCAGGGCTGTCCCCACTGACAGGGCACAGTGACCCATCCATAGGGATCCGGTACTGCCAGGACGCTCTGTGTTGGGATGAGAGCTTGGGATGCAGGCGCATCCCTGTCCCCATGTATTGTCCTATTGGATCCCAATCCCTGTGCGCCCCCCCCAGCTATCAGGAATCATTGGACAGCGCTGGTTTGAGGGATGCTCGGTGCCATCATGACCCCCCCCCCCGTCATTGCCACAGCAGCTCCAAACCCCAGGCATGGAAAAGCCTCTTCCCTGCTCCTGCAATGGGCTGGAAAACCAAGATCAGCCCAGCCCGGGCCCCAGCAACTGGAGCAACCGGTTGAACTGGGTGCAAGTGGAGCAGTGGCTGAAACCTGTTCCGAGCTGTGTGTAAACCTCCTGGCCCGGCCCTCGCTGCCACCGGTTGGGTAAGAGCTTGTCCCGGGGATGCGCCGGCTCCGCTCATCCCATTGCCAGCAGCGCCGGGAGCGGGACCACGGCCCCTCCATCCCCAGCCATGGCCCTTGGCGCCCGTGCTTGGCCCAATCCTGCTCTCCAGGGAGGGCTGGGGATGGACGGGAGCCAGGGTCGGACGCTCGGCCCATGGTGGCCCCGTGCCACTGCACACACACAGGGACCGGGGCTATATTTAAGCTCCGGACCCAATGGCAGTGCCCATTCCCGTCATGGGCAGCTGCGTCCCAATTGGGATCAGGCTTCCGGGAAGGGGGGGCCGGATCCTGCCCGCTGCCGCCGCACCGGGGACGGGACACGGCCAAGTGAGTGCCACCGGGTCCTGCCCTGCTTCCCCCCGGGAAAGCCCATTCCAGGCTCTGGAGCCGCTTTCCCATAGGGATCCCTGGCTCCAGGGTTCCCCCCCTCCCTGCCCAAAGCCAGCCTGGGAGCGGTGTCCTGCTGGGAAGCAGCTCCTGAGCTTCCAGTCAGGACCCAAGCTTCCATCTGGGACCCCCAGCTCAGTCTGGGACCCCCATTTCCATCTGGGACCCCAATTCCAGCCAGGACCCCCAATTCCAGCCAGGACCCTCACTTCTATTTGGAACCCCCACTTCCATCTGGGAGCCCTAATTCTAGCCAGGACCCTCACTTCTATTTGGGACCCTGCTTCTATCTGGGACCCTAATTCCAGCCAGGACCCCCATTTCCAGCCAGGATCCTCACTTCTATTTGGGACCCTGCTTCTATCTGGGACCCTAATTCCAGCCAGGAACCCCAATTCCAGCCAGGACCCTCACTTCTATTTGGGACCCCACTTCCATCTGGGGCCCCTAATCCCATCCAGGACCCCAATTCCATCCAGGATCTCCCCACACCAGACAGGGCCTCCCCTTTCCAACTCAGCTGCTCCATGCACAGGACAGGACTCCCCCAAGGCCCTGCCCATCACCCCAATCCCTCCATCCCCCCCATGCACCGGGTGCCACAGGGGGTCCCCAGGCTCCTTTTGGGGTCCCGAGGCAGGGACACAGCGATTCCCAGGCACAGGGAGCGCAGGAGCTGGCAAAGGAGGGAGCAGGATATAATTAGCCCCAAATTAGGGCTGGAATCCGGGATAAAGAGCCCGGCACCACCCGGCTCTTGCGAAAAGCCACATGGGGCAGCTCCCAAAGGAAAGAGGGGGGGGTAGGAGGGGGGGGATCATCCCGAGGTTGGGGGCTCCGCATTCCCGCTCCGTAACGAGAGCCGGGATTATCAGCGCCTGCGATGGGGAATCCGGTTTCCCGGCGGAGCCGTTGCTGCGGCAACCTCGGGGCTGGGATTGGGGAGCTCTTGTTCGCTCCACAAGAGGCTCCTCTGTGTGTGGGTCACCCGATAGCCCCCCCGGGCTCCCCCCCCTCCGGCTCCATTGGCTCCCATTGCACGGCTGAGGACACCGGATCCCAGCGGCCGGGCAGCGGGAGGAGGGATGGGATGGAGCCGGCAGCGCGGTGCTGAGTGATGGGGGATGCCGGGATCCCACCGGCGCTGGGGCATCCGAGGCCAGGTCCTTCCAGGAAACCATTCCATGGCTTTAGATGTGCTTTAAGCGCCCTTCCAAGCCATTCCCATGATTCCACGATCCTATAACCCATAGCGCACATCCATGGTGAAGGTAGAAGCGAGACCCAAACACCCCCCCAAAAGTGACTCAGCATCCCCATCCCATAAGCACCGATGGCGCTGGATGCGCTCCTCTCCATCACCCTGGACCAGTGTGGGGTGAGCAGGGCCCCGGGGTACCGTGGATGCGGGCTCCCCGTATCCCGGCCCCCGCGAGGGGGGCCCGGCGGTGCCAGCCGGACTGTCCAGCCCCGGTATTGGATCCTCCCGCAGGGAGGGGGCCTGGAGCTTATTTAACGGCCCCGCTTCGCCCAGCGCGGAGCACTCGGAGCAGCGCGGAGCTCAGGTGAGCCCAGGTCCATGGGTGGGATGCAGGGACCCCCATCATAACCAGCACTGCCCAAAGGGGGTGCGATGGAGGGATGCTCCTTACAGTAAAAGGGGGGAGCTGGTGGGTGCCCCCCATAACCCAATGGGTGCTTCCCTGCAGCCGGAACCATGGCATCGCAGCTGGAAGGGGCCATGGAGACGCTCATCAACGTCTTCCATCACTACTCGGGCAAAGAGGGGGACAAGTACAAGCTGAGCAAGAAGGAGCTGAAGGAGCTGCTGCAGAGCGAGCTGGGCTGCTTCCTGGAGGTAGGGATGCAGTGGGATGCAGCGGGGGGTCCCCCTTTTCCTTTCCATGCTATGGGGCATCCAATGCTGACGCTGTCACCCCCCCCAAACGCAGACCCAGAAGGACACGGGTGCCGTGGAGAAGATCATGCAGGACCTGGATGAGAACGGCGATGGGGAAGTGGACTTCCAGGAGTACGTGGTCCTGGTGGCCGCCCTCACCGTGGCCTGCAACACCTTCTTCTGGGAGAACGCCTGACCCCCATCCCGGCTGAGCACCCCCGGAGCGCAGAGCACCCCTTCCCCAGCGCCCCCTCCGCTTCCCAGCACGCAGCATCCCATTGGGATCCAGCTCCATAATAAAGGCAGCGACCCAGCTTCTAAGGGTGTCCCTTTCCTTGGGGATACCGGGAGCATTCCCTCTCTGAAGCCATAGGGAAAAGCTCCCCCCCCGGTCCCTCCATCGCACCCTGGGTGTCACCCATTGGGGTGCAGGACATAGCGGGGGGGGTGCGGGGTCAATATGGGGCTCTGGGGGTCCGGGATGGGGGGTGCCCCACAGGCTGGGGCTCGTCCCACGGGGCTGGAGGAACCGGTTCCTATCGGCTCGCCCAGCGGGAGCGGAGCCAGCGGCCCCCGCGCTGAGCCCCGTGCAGGGCCGGCAGCGCCATCACCTGCCGGGATCGGGGCCCCGCGGGGCAACCCCGGCCGTGGGATGCAGTGGGAAGGGATGGATGGGGTGGGATGGGATGGATGGGATGGGATGGATGGGATGGGATGGATGGGATGGATGCGGTGGGAAGGGATGGATGGGATGGGATGGGATGGGATGGGATGGATGGGATGGATGGGATGGGATGGGATGGGATGGATGGGATGGGATGGGATGGATGGATGGGATGGGATGGATGGGATGGATGCGGTGGGAAGGGATGGATGGGATGGGATGGGATGGGATGGGATAGATGGGATGGATAGGATGGGATGGATGGGATGGATGGGATGGATGGGATGGGATGGGGTGGGATGGGATGGGATGGATGGGATGGATGGGATTGGGGGGAAGCAATGCAGGTCATGCATCCTTATTGTCCTGCTGCAATCAGTGCACTTCTCTGGGGATAGAGGAGGGGCAAGCTGGCAGAAATCACTTTAATACCCAGAAGAGCCGCTTGTGCGCTCGGTTGCTGTAGGGTTTGGCTCCTTTAAACGGGGTGGTAAAAAAGAGGCTTAAAGAGGATGCTGTAGGGCAGGAGATGGAGGATGTGGGGGGTTGGAGATGCAGCAAGGGCTGGAGCATCCCTGCTCTGGAGCCAGGCTGAGAGAGCTGGGCTGGGGCAGCCTGGAGAAGAGAAGGCTCCTGAAGGGGAGACCTGAGAGCAGCTCCAGTGCCTAAAGGGGCTGCAGGAAACCTGGAGAGGGGCTTGGGACAAGGGATGCAGGGACAGGGCAAGGGGAATGGCTTGAACCTGCCCGAGGGGAGACTGAGCTGAGCTCTTAGGCAGCAGCTCCTCCCTGGGAGGGCGGTGGGACACTGGGATGGGTTGAATGGAGAAGGTTTGGATGCCCCATCCCTGGCAGTGCTCAAGGCCAGGTGGGACAGGGCTTGGAGCATCCTGCTCTAGTGGAAGGTGTCCCTGCTTTGGAGCTGGATGAGCTTTAAGCTCAGCTCATCTCATCCCATCCCCATTCCCTCCCCATCCCATTCTCATCCTCATCCACTCCCCATCCCCATTCCCATTCCCATCCCCATCCCATCCCATCCCCATCCCATCCTCATCCCATCCCCATCCCATCCCCATGCCATCCCATCCCCATCCCCATCCCCATCCCGCCAGCCTGAGGGACCCCCGCCCGGCATCAACCAATAGCCGCGAGGGAAACCCAAACGTCACCACAGCCCACCCAATAAGAGAGGCCGTCGGGACGAGTCTGACTCCGCCCCTTCCCTTTGCGCGCCGCCGCGGCCGCCATTTTGGCCGGTGGAGGGAGAAGGCGGGGGGGGGCTCCTGTGGTGCCGCCGCCATTTTGTCGCGGCCGTTGGAGCACGGCGGAGCGGGCGGAGGGCGCTGAGTCTGCCCCGCGCCACCCGCAGCCACCGCTGCCGGGACCTGGCGACCGTCGGCTTCGGTGAGAGCGTCCGGTCCTGCCCGAGGGCTGCGGCGGGGCGGGAAGGGGAGGGACGGGGACCGGCTCCGAAGGGGAGGCCGCAGGGCGCGATGAGGCGGTGGGGGGGGAGAGGTTGATCCTTGCCCCCATGAACGGCGGTTGTTGCCGTTGTTGTTGCCGTTGCCAGGGGCTTGTAGGGCTCGGTTGCCGGCCCAGGGCAAGGCCTCACCTTTCTCCCCTGCCTCTGCGTTGTTGGGGGGTGGGGGGTCGCAAATGCTTTTAAACCCCATTTTTGACCAAAAAGCGGGGTTCCGGCTGCCTGTTGGCTCCATTTGTGTGTGATCTGTACTGAAACTCGGTAAAGAAAGCGGTTTCAGGGGTATTCCTCACTGGGGCTGGAACATCGGAACCAGTTACCGTTAAATCCCTGTGCTGCTTCCATGCGGTGGAGAGCCCCATTAGAGCAACGTTAGGGCCTAAACCCCCCCCCCCCCCCCCCTTACAGCTTATATCTGTCCTAAGTGGTGATAATCACATTAAGAGGGTGAAGCCTTAATGGTTTTAAGCCATTTGGGACTTCTGTAATGTAATATAGAGGTTTTCTTGCTGAGGGGGGTGATGCCTGCCTTCAAACAAGGTGGCCTTTCCCTGTTGCTGATGCTGAGAGCATAGGGAGTGTGGCAGTGCTTTGGATCCTGGCCTAAACAAGGCATTGAGGTGCTGGTTTGATGGCCGGGGGCGGGTGGTGAGTTTTGCATCATTGCCCCTGCCAGTGGTCCCATTTGTTAGTAAGGACGAGTTAGTATGACTTGGGGATGTATGAAGCGTGCTGTATCCTGAGTTTCATGCTAGACAGTGCGGTAATGGAATATCGGTTATCTATTCTGCCTCTCGAAGCAGCCAGAATGTGGTTATTTCATGGGGGGGGGGTGTTGAAGCAGCCAGAATGTGGTTATTTCATGGGGGGGGGGGGGTTGAAGCAGCCAGAATGTGGTTATTTCATGGGGGGGGGGGTTTCAAAGCAGCCAGAATGTGGTTATTTCATGGAGGGGGGGTTTGAAGCAGCCAGAATGTGGTTATTTCATGGGGGGGTGTTCAAAGCAGCCAGAATGTGGTTATTTCATGGGGGGGGGTTTGAGCAGCCAGAATGTGTATTTCATGGGGGGGGGTTAAAGCAGCCAGAATGTGGTTATTTCATGGGGGGGGGGTTTGAGAAGAATGTGTTATTTATGGGGGGGGGTGTTGAAGAGATGTGTTTTATGGGGTGAAAATTATTTGGGGGGGACAGCAGAATGTGTATTTTGGGGTATTGAAGCAGCCAGAATGTGGTTATTTCATGGGGGGGGGGTATTAAAGCAGCCAGAATGTGATTATTTCATGGGGGGGGGGTTCAAAGCAGCCAGAATGTGGTTATTTCATGGGGGGGGGGTATTGAAGCATCCAGAATGTGATTATTTCATGGGGGGGGGGTGTTGAAGCAGCCAGAATGTGGTTATTTCATGGGGGGGGGGTGTTGAAGCAGCCAGAATGTGCTTATTTCATGGGTTCAATGGGAGATGCCAGTGCTGTTTGGTTGAGGCCGCCTCTCTTGTGTTGCAGATTCTCTTGAGCTGAAGATGGCTGCACAGTCAGCGCCGAAGGTCGTGCTCAAGAGCACCACCAAGATGTCTCTGAACGAGCGGTGAGGAAGCCAACAGCAGCTTCAGCTCATAAGAAATCGTTGTCCTTAGTTATCACTGCCCCAGTGGCCCACAAAAAAACCCACCCAGCCTGGTTTCGGCCCTCTTTTAAGCTCACTAAAGCAAGCCGATGGCTGTGCACCTCTGCCTTAAACCGCGCCAAAGGTGGTACCCAAGGTTTAAAGGGCGAGCGTTTGATCCGTGGCGGTTTAATAGGAAACCCTTGCGACACGTAAATCTGGTGGGATGTGTTATAACCCAAGAGAGAGAGAAAAGCTCACACCCTCCCTTTTCTCTTCCACGTGTGTTTTACATTGATAGAGGCGACGCTGCAGCACGGTAGCATGTTACCCAAGCTGCAGGAGGCTTGCTGCTTTGTCCGAGGCAGACACACGTCCATGTGGTCTGGCCTGTAAGAGGCAGGCAGCAGGCCGCTGAACAAGCCCAAAGGCCCTTTAACAACGTTCTGGGCCTTGTAAGAGGCAAATGCTTTACTTCATCTCCATCTCTTTTTCTCTCTCTTGCCTCGATTCCTTTATTTCTTCTGTTGAGTATTCCTCTGGTTTTCCATGCCGTTGAGCTCATGCAGTGCGACAGTGGTCACTAACAGCAATGCAGTTCTGTTTCACTTTCCTCCTAACCACTCTTGGATTATCTTCTGTTGGTAGCGTGGAGACAGGGAGGTATAGAGCTGTGTTTGTGCTGCCCCTGCTCTAGCAAGTGCTGCAGGGGGTTGGATGGAGAGGCCAGACTGGTGCTCAGAGTTACCTTAGGCAAGATGAGGGGCAAGGCAGGGGAGGCCTTGTTAGCCCGTTTGGGTTTGGTCAGGCCGTAATCCTTATCTCTGAGTGTTCTCTTCCCCAGCCCCAGCACCCAGCAGGATGCAGATGGGCTGCTCCTAAGGAGGCTTGCCATCTTGCTGCTCCTGTATCCTCCTAAATAGAAGATCCTTTGTGCCCCAAAGAAACTGCCAAGTGAACTGTTTCTCTAAGCAGCCATGCTTGGGTGCTGGCATTTCTCCTGTGGGGCACCAGAGGCCACCAGACTGTCCTTAGGGGGATGTCTTTTGTTAAGGTGCCGTTTGGCCTGGAGTTTTTAACCCTCTTGGAGGGTGAATTTTGGCTTTTGCAGTCAGATTTCCCTTTGCTTTTGTGTTCCTGTGATGTCCTCTCCCATCTGTCACGACCATCTCTGCTTCTTGCTTGTTGTCATTCCTTCTGCCATTTCTAACCTCAGTAACCTAAAGCTTTCTCACTTCTCGATTAATACGCAGCATCATTTCTGAGTTTCCAGTTCTTGCACACTTGTGGAAAACGAGGAATACCTAATCCCATGTGCCGTGACCTAAGTACCACTCTTTACGTAAGGTTCATGGGATCTGGAGATCCAATCTTGAGAACCATGAAATGCCAATAAATGTATGTAATAAAAGCTTTCTTTAAACACCCGTTTTATTCGACCTTGAAGCTTTACTAACATGCTGAAGAACAAACAGCCGATGCCAGTGAATATTCGGGCTACCATGCAGCAGCAGCAGCAGCTAGCCAGTGCCAGAAACAGAAGACTGGCCCAGCAGATGGAGAACAGACCTTCTGTCCAGGCGGCTTTGAAGCTCAAACAGGTGAGAGACAACCACGGGTTCTGATGCCTGCCACCAGCACGTGGATGGGGGAAAATGGCCTTGGATGTTCAAACTGGGAGACCTGGAAGGGACTTGCAGGAGATGCCGCTTTTTCCTTTAGATAAGTAATGCTTTTGTGACTCGGTGCTTCACGTTGGGGGTGTTTTGTGCTGGTTGTTGATGTCTCCTCTCTGTTTTTTCAGAGCAGTGGTTCTCAGTCTGGGTTTCTGGATCTGCGAGTGCTTCGCCTCACACTCTAGCTGCAGTTCCAGCTGCTGTGGGTTGTTCCCAGTACTTACTGGCCAGTTGAGGCTGGTTGCTCCCATCCCCAGCTCCATCCTCTCCTGGTGCACTCCCTTCATAGCAGCTGGCTGAGAGGAACAGAGGAACAAACTGATGTGGGGCTGAATGCTAGAATGCAGGCCTGGATTTAAGGCACAGGGTTGAATTCTCCTTAGATAAAGAGTATTTATCATTTCACCTTTTGGTGCTGAGTCCTACAGATGATGTCCCTCCAGTTGCTTTCTGGCAGTAGAGCAGAAGACCCGAGCACATTTGTTAGATCTTAATTTCCCTGCTGAGATCAGTGTGCTTCTCCCTAGCTCTGGACTGGAAGAAGCAGCAGGAGGGATGGCTGGTAAGAGAAGCTTAAAGAGGATGTGTAGGACGCAGCCTTGAAGGATGTGAGGTGTTGGAGATGCTGTAGGGGCTGGAGCATCCCTGCTCTGGAGCCAGGCTGAGAGAGCTGGGCTGGGGCAGCCTGGAGAAGAGAAGGCTCCTGAAGGGGAGACCTTAGAGCAGCTCCAGTGCCTAAAGGGGCTGCAGGAAACCTGGAGAGGGGCTTGGGACAAGGGATGGAGGGACAGGCCAAGGGGAATGGCTTGAACCTGCCAGAGATGAGCTCTTACGCAGAAGCTCTCCCCTGTGAGGGTGCTGAGGCGCTGGCACAGGGTGCCCAGAGAAGCTGTGGCTGCCCCATCCCTGGCAGTGCTCAAGGCCAGGTTGGATGGGACTGGAAGAGCTTTAAGCTCCCTTTAACCCAGACCAGTCTGGGATCCTATGAAATGGAAGCCTGTGGGGCAGGGCCTCAGCTCTGCAGCGAGCTCAGGCAGCAGCACTGCATGACTTGACTGCACCATTAGCTCCGTGTAATTCTGTACATTCTCTCCCACTTGAGGAGGAAGCCTTGGCAGTGTCTCCCTGGAAATGCCTCAGCTGAGCTGCCTCCCCACATAGCTGGAATTCTTCAACCTGCCCCGTTCAGGGCCCGCCCTGATAAAGAGGAATGCAGCTGCTGTTAAAGATCTCTTGAGGCTCCTGTTGTTAAGAACAGGCTGTGGTGGCAGGCGGCCTCCCAGAGCCTGGAAACAGCAGCTCTGGGAATGGCTTCAGGATGTTTGGAAAGCTCAGAATTTCACAAGTGATAAGTGAGACTGGATTTAAGTGAACTTAGTGCTGAAGTGCTGCAAAGGAGCAGGGAAGAACTGATCTTTTGGCTTAGCTCCTAAACCCCTTTGATTTCCATGTTCAGCATAAATGTACATCCATGCATTTCTGCACATAAAAGAGGGGCCATGGGGGGATTTGGGAACCTGGATTCTGTTATGTTGCTCTTTGGGCTCTGGCAGTTGATGTGGCGATGGGATTTTCCCAAGTGCAGGCTATTGCCAGGAGCATTTCTGATCCTCTGGGATGTGAGTCCTTCCCAAGGGACCATTCCGAGCTCCTGTGGAGCAGTTTGTGTGCGATTCCTGGGTCTGTGGTTTGCAGCTGAGTGCACGAGTGCTTAAATAAACCTCCTGTGTTCTGTCTTTAATGCAAACCCATTTATATTGACTGGTTCTGGATGTGCCTTTGCTTAGTAGCTGGAGCAGACCAAGGTGCTCTGGGGCAGAGCAGAAGGGCCAAGCCTCTTGGGCCTGTTTCAGCCCCAGGTCCAGCAGCTTAACTTTAAACTCGGGTGGTAAGTGACATCAAGGAGTAGTTGGATGTGGATCAGACACGTGCTTTCTCTTTCCTTTCTGCTGGTGAGGCTGGGCACAGGAGGGAGGCTCCTGGTTTAGGCTGTTGGGAATATGACTAAACTGGGATGTGAACTGTCTAAGCTGGGGTGTAACGCCCACCTTGGTGAGGAGTTGAGCCATGTCTGCAGCCCTTCTGTGTGAGCATTTGGGAGCAGGAGCTCTGGGGAATGGATTCTGGTGAAGAACCCACTTCAAAAGCCAGACACACAGTGATGACTGTTCTGCTGCTGCTCTGGTGAGGGTAAATCTCTTCAGTATAGTTTGCTGCTTGTATAAACGGAAAAGTGGATGCTTTTCCTAGCTTTGTATGGAAACAGGATGGGGTTAGGGAATGATATTCATGGTGTGTGGCTCACAGATGTCACTCGCTGGATGGAGGGAGGCTGGGTTTGTGCAGCAGGGATCTGCTTGGACTATCCCAGCAGAAGGGATCATTGGGCTGCCTTTAGGATGAAGAATCTGCTTGGCTTTGGCCTGAGCAGCACTGCTGAAGGCAGAGAGCAAAGTGCTCCCTTGTCTCTGGACAGACACAGGGCTTTGCTCTCTGCCCTGCACCAGTTCTCCCTCCCAGACCAGATCTGACTGCCTTTGAAGCTTGATCATCCATTGCAGAGAGCTGGTAGCCTTTGGTTTCCTTACAGTAAGACACACCAGAGCAACACCCCTGTTGTGGTGCTGGTTGTGGGGCAAGTCCATGATTGCTGCATGACTTTTTTCCCCTCTCTTACACATCTTTTATTCCAGAAGAGCTTGAAGCAACGCCTCGGGAAAAGCAACATCCAGGCCCGGTTAGGCCGACCAGCAGGGCCCCTCGCTCGCGGAGCCATGGGGGGAAGAGGACTGTCCATGGGGCAGAGGGGTTTGCCACGGGGAGCCATGCGTGGAGGCCGGGGAGCCAGAGCTCTGCTGCGAGGAGGGATCCCTCTCCGAGGTCAGATCCCAGTCCGTGTGGCACTGGAGCTGCTGGGCTGTCACCAGTGGTGTTCTGGACAGCGTGACTCTGATTCTGTCGGAAAACTGATGGCTTTCCCATTGGAATTCCCTCTCTTAAAGGTCAGAGCCTGCTGCGTGGAGGACGAGGGATATCTCCCAGGATGGGCCTGAGGAGAGGTGGCCTTCGAGGCCGTGGTGGCCCTGGAAGAGGAGGTCTGGGCCGAGGCGCGATGGGCCGCGGAGGGCTCGGAGGCAGAGGTTGGTGCTCGCAAGGGTAATGACACACAGGGAGCTGGAATTCCTTCTCCTGTTCACAGCCTAGAACACATGAGTGGTGCAGCCCCAATCCCCTCTGAATCCATGCACAGCATAGTGCTAAATGAGGGCTTTAACTCCCAAAACACCCAGTGGAGCTCCCTGACTGTGCCAGTGTCCATGAAGGGCTCTGGGCATGGCTGCTGAAGTTGTACCCATGGCTTGGAACAGTGGGGAGGCAACAGGTACTCTTACTGAGGCAGACTGCTCTGTCTCCTCGTGCTGAAGGGCCTGTGTAGACCACGAGGCTCTTAAACCCATCAGTCAGGGGGAAATGAGCAGAGGAGAAAGTCTGAACCCTGCAAAATAAACTCGGATTCAGCTGGAACTGAATCAGTTTGGGTAAATGAACTCTCTTCACCACAGGGATGGGTGAAGCAGGAGGAAATGAGACAGCTATGCTGGGTGGTGGTTCGTGTTTCAGACAGATGTTCAGTTAGAGCCAGATGTGCTCTCATGATCCTGGGGGATTGGCTCCATGTTTGTGGGAGCAGTTACCAGGAAGCTGCTGATCCCTCCACAACTTCAGCCTGACCCATTTGAGTTAGGCTGAAAACCTTGGGGTTCCTTGGCAAAACGGGCTTCTAAGGGGTGATGCTGCTGCTCCCTGGCCATCAGAAGCTTCATCCTGAACCAGAGGCGTGTGGAACCCCGGGAATCTCAGCAGGGGGTGGGTGTTTGAGCTGGGATCAGGCACCTGCATTCCCAAAGCCCGTGTTGGGTGTAACCATCCTCTTGTGTCCCCCCCAAGGTCGCGGCATGGCCAGCCGGGGCCGGGGCGGCTTCGGAGGCCGCGGCAGAGGCCGGGGCCGAGGCAGAGGATCGGCGCGGCCGGCGCTGACCAAGGAGCAGCTGGATAACCAGTTGGATGCCTACATGTCCAAGACGAAAGGACACCTGGACGCCGAGCTGGATGCTTACATGGCTCAGACAGACCCCGAGTCCAACGACTGAAGGGCCTTTGCCAGAGACCTTGTGGAAGTTGGTGTGTGGTGCCCATAAAGCTAAACATGGCAAAAGCCTGATTTCCTGCCGGGAGGAGCCGCTGGCATGGGGAGCAGCCCGGGCTTTAGTGTCTTCCTTTCACGTTTTGATACTCTCTGTTGTATGAAACCTCTTCCTTTGGGATTGTTTTTATATCTGTATTTCTCCTCTTCCCCCCACCCCAACACGAACGTGAACCCGCTGACATTGGTGCTGGTGACACGAGCCCGTGGTTCCGTGCCTCTTTTAAGCTCCGTGGTGGCATTTTGGGATCACCCCCATCCCCAAGCGCCACCCCAGGGCTGAGCTTACACCCGTGGCTCCATTTAAACCCATCTTGAAGCCACAAAAACCCCTTCCCAGGAGGACAAACCCTCGGGGCAGGTTTCCTTGTGGCACTCCCCACAGCAGGCTTTGCCTCACCACCACCGTTTCCTCTCATTGTCAGTAGCCAGCGTTGCGGGCAGGGCGCTGCCCAGGTTGCAAACATCCTTTAGTTGGGTTTTCCGATGGTTTTTAGATTAAAGTTTGGCTTCTTTTCGTTGTGTTGGAGCTGGTGGTTTCCGTATCTGGTGAAAGGAATTGGAAGCAGGAAGTACCAGTGACAGCAGGGAGGGGGAAATGGAGCTGGGCCTCTAAAACAACAGAGTCCAACATTCATCCCTTATGGTATAAACCCCCCCCATTCCCCCTTGTGCCTGTGCGGGCAGGGGTCTGTGCCCCATAGGATTCAGCCATAACGTGAACCGTTCCAGTTCCCATGGAATCTTGTTGTTCTGGTTTGTTGTTAACAAAGGAGAAGTCATTCTCAAAGCAGTTGTAGACTCTGTGCTGCTTGTTTTCCCTGGGAATGGGGACTGTTGGGCCCCGAGGGGGGGGTCCCGGGAAGCAGGAACAGGCAAGGGCTATGGGCAGGCCTATAGGCAGGGGAGGGGGCAGGACCGCAGGCAGGGCTACAGGCAGCCAGAGAAGATGCAGTGGGAGCTGGGTGCCAAATGAGCAGAGCCGGCTGGAGGAGGTGAGTCGGAGGTCCCCATTCCTGTCCCCTTTCCTGTTGACCCCATCCCATAGCCCCAAAAGCAAGGAAAAGCCCGGGCCCACCAAACCCTGGAGTTAGGATGTGGCAGGATGGCCCATGAGCATCCCTCCTGCCCCACCATCCTCTCCCCGTGAGCATAAGCGGACTACATTTCCCAGCATCCCCCGCGGCACATACCAAAGCCAATTCCCGACCCCCTTCCGGACTACATTTCCCAGCATGCACCGCGGCCCAAACCAGAGCCCGCTTCCCTTATTCCCCGTTTGGACTACATTTCCCATCATCCCCTGCACTGCGGCTCCACCCAGAACCCGCTCTCTACCCTTTTCCGGACTACATTTCCCATCATGCACCGCGGCACAAGCCAGAACCCGCTCTCATTACCCTCTTTCGGACTACATTTCCCAGCATGCCCCGCGGCCCCAGCCAGAGCCCTCTCCCTTTACCCCCTTTGGACTACATTACCCATCATGCCCCGCGGAAGCGGCTTTTCCTGCCCAGCTCTGAGGGGACGCCATTCCCCGGCCGTGATGGCGGCGGGCGGTACCACCGCTACCACTACTACCACCACCGGCGGGGGCGGCGGCCCCGCGGCTCGGGAGCTGTTCGCGGAGGGGCTGCTGCAGTTCCTGCGCCCGGCGGTGCGGCAGCTCGATGGGCACGTCCATGCCGTCAGGTCCGGGAGCGGCGGAACGGGGCGGGGGCAGCCCGGGCGGACGGGGCCTTGAGGGGCGGACGGGGCCTTGAGGGGCGGACGGGGCCTGGGTGGAGCTCGGGGCTGCTGCATGGGGAGATGGGGGTTCGGGGTCGAGCTGTGGGGAGCGGAGGGAGCGTTTGGGGTGGGCACGGAGCTGGAGGTGGGTTAATGGGGCGCTGGGTCCCCGGTGGAGGGAGCAGGGATGGTTTTGGGGTGTCCGGACCGTGGGACATGGAGCTGTGCCCTCCGCAGGGAGAGCCAGGTGGAGCTGCGGGAGCACATCGACAGCCTGGCCACTGGTGAGACGAGGGGGGGCCCTCTGAGATACGGGGGGCAGCTCCGAGACATGGGGGGACATCACCTCCAAGACATGGGGAGCAGCTCCAAGACATGGGGGGGACATCATCTCTAAGACATGGGGGGCAGCTCCAAGACATGGGGGGACATTACTTCCAAGACATGGGGAGCAGCTCCAAGACATGGGGGGACATCACCTCCAAGACATGGGGGGCAGCTCCAAGACATGGGGGGACATCACCTCCAAGACATGGGGAGCAGCTCCAAGACATGGGGGGACATTACTTCCAAGACACGTGGGGCTCCTCTGAGACATGGGGGTTATCACCTCCAGGATATGGGGGATCACCTCCAGGATATGGGGGCCCCCCCACCCTCTGCCCCCTTCTCCCCAGAGCTCTGCCGCATCAATGAGGACCAGAAGGTGGCCCTGGACCTCGACCCCTACGTGAAGAAGCTGCTGAACGCCCGGCGCAGGGTGGTGCTGGTCAACAACATCCTGCAGAACGCGCAGGTCAGCCCAGGCATCCCAATGGGGGGGAATGGGGAGCAAACGGGGGTTCCAATCCCCTCCATCCTGACGGCTGCCGCTGCTCCTGCCTCTCCCCTGGCACAGGAACGGCTGCGGAGGCTCAACCACAGCGTGGCCAAGGAGACGGTGCGGAGGAGAGCGATGCTGGAGGCGGCCGGGGCCTACCCCCAGGGGCTGCCGGGCAAGTGAGGCTGTGCCCAGAGCCCCAGGAGCTGGGGGTGTGAGCCCCACAATAGGACAATGATGGGAATGGGCCAGGAGGGGAGCAGGGATCCCCCCCCCGCCCTGGTTGTGGCATGGAGATGGCCCCCAGGGTGAGGAGCAGGGGAGAGCTGCAGTTGGCTGGGCAGAGCTGGAGGTGCTGTAATAAAGGAGGTGCTGATGGGCTGATGACTGCATCCTGGCCCCTTTCCCATCGGTGTTTTGCACTTCAACCAACCAGGACGTGTTCCAAAGGGGGGAACGTTTTAATGGGCAGCTTATAAAAACACAGCCAAGGGAGAGGCCATGGGCTTGTTCCTGCAGCAGCCCCAAGGCTTTCCATGGGCACCGTCACTCCTGCGTCTCCATGCTCTCCTCTTCCTCCCCTGCAGCAGGTTCCTCCTGGTTCTCTTCTTCCTCTTCCCCTTCCTTCTTCTCGGGAGGTTTCTCATAAGCCTTCTCGGAAGGCGTCACTATCACCCCATCCCACGTGGACATCTCCGAAGCCAGGTCTGCAAACCCAACCCAGGGGGGCTTGGAGCAGCACGGCCAAACCCCAGCCCCATGGAAGCCCTCCCATTGCTCCAGGCTTCCAGCAGCCCAGTGAGAGCCCCCCCACGGAGCCAGGCATTGGCCCCAGCCCCACTTACAACTGGCATCGCCCTCCTGGCCGAGGATTTTCCTGTAGCCTCCATGGGAGAGGATGCGGACGAGGGTCTGGGCGGTGTAGCACACCATGTCCTGCACGGGGACAGGGCCTGGTCAGGGCCCCGGGGGTCCTGATCCCGTCCCCCAGCAGGGCAGGAGCTCACCTGCTGCTCCAGGGTCATGACCGTGTGCACTCGGAAGTTCCCGCTCTCACAGGGATCCGTGATGCCCACGGAGCCAGGGAGGAAGAGCCCCGCAGCCAGGATCTGGAGGCAGCGCCTATGGGATGGGATGGTTCAGAGTGAGACCATTCCAGCATGGAGAGGTCCCTTCATGCCTATGGGATGAGATGGGTTGGAATGAGACCATTCCAGCATGGAGAGGTCCCTTCAGGGCTATGGGATGAGATGGTTTGAGGTTTGGAGTGAGACCATTCCAGCATGGAGAGGTCCCTTCAGGGCTATGGGATGAGATGGGTTGAGGTTTGGAGTGAGACCATTCCAGCATGGAGAGGTCCCTTCAGGGCTATGGGATGCTGCTGCTTTCCTTGGACGTGTTCAAAACAGGGACTATAGGAGCGAAGGAGGCGGCCCCAGACCTGTAGGCGATGTTGAGAGCCAGGGGCTGCCGGGTGGGGTTGTTCATCACCGCGTAGTGGCCCTGCAGAGGTGGACACACAACGAGGCCGTTGGGACGAGAGCAGGGGAACCCCGCTGCCGGCATCCCCATTGCCCGCTCACCAGCAGGTCCAGGATCCAGGGCGTGAGGGGCTCGAAGCCAGGGAACCGAATCCTCAGGTCCTTCAGCAGCCGGATCAGCACCTTCACCCTGGAGCAGGCAATGGGGAGGGGGCTCAGGGATGCTCCCCTTGTGCTCTTCCAGGGCTCAGTTCCCACTGGGGGCCAGACTCACGTGGACTGGGACGCGTTCTCCTCGAACCAGCGCGCGTGCCGGATGGCAGCCAGGGCGCTCTGCAGCACCTTGATGTCCACTGCAGGGAGCAGCACAAAGGGTTGGGTTTAACGGGGGGGAGCACAGGGATGGGCCTTTGGGATGGGTTCCCCCCCCCGTGGGCACCAGGGAGCCCTCACGGTGCAGCTCCGGGTCCAGCTTGCGCAGGTTGGGGGGCACGGTGGTGATGAGGATCTTCACCGTGGCATCGGCCGAGCTGATCTCAAAGCCCGTCTCGTTGGTCAGCATGGTCAGGACTGGGGGCACACAGGGACAATTCCTCATGGGAAGGATGGAAAAGCATGGTTGGGACACCACACAGCAGCAAAGGGGGCCCCAGGGCTGAAGGGGTTTGATGTGTGGTGGTTGCCCCCCTAACCCCATAGGGACGAAAGCCCCATCCCACCTTCACCAGGGTCCTGAGCTCGCAGGCTCTCCACAACCTTGTTCCCCAAGGCTGCCACAGCTTCCACTGGGGAGAAGAAGGAGAAGGAGCAGGGGTGAGAGCAGGGCTGAGGCCGGAGCCAGCAGGGGGACACGCGGCCAACACTCACGGGTGGGTAGGATCTTGAGGATCACCACCAGGTCGGCCACGTTGTGGCCTGTGGTCATGGTCCCCTTCTTGTAGGAGCCCACCTGACGAACCTCCTCGATTTGCTGCGGGAAGAGCAAAGCACCCATGAGGAAACACAACCCATGGGTGACATCCGAGCATCCCCTGGAGCAGGAACATGGAATTCCACCCCCCCCATCCGCTTTTGGCCTCACCACTTCGAACGTCCCCGGTGCCACGATCAGGTTGTCGATCACGTTGTTGATCTTGGTCACCAGGGAAAGGATGGAGGCCTGGGTAGGAAGCACATGGAGGGGAGGGGGGGGGGTCAGTTCTGCCCCCCCTCCATCAGAACACCCAGCACCATGCACCTATAACAGAGACCCACAGAAACCCCACTGCCCAAGGACCTCCGCTCCGCACCGCCTGCAGCCCACGCTCTGTGCCCCCTAACCCCGTGCTCCCATCCAGCCAAAGGGGGTTCGGGGGGGGGTCTGATCCAGAACCTGTTCAGCAGCGGTGGGAGCCAGGTCCTGGTTCCTCTTGAGCAGGGCCTCGCTGAAGGCGGTCTCATCGGCGGCCGGCTTCACGCGGGGAAAAGCCATTTCACACTGGAGAGGGAGCAGGGATGAGCTCCATCCCACAGGGAAACAGCTTCCATTGGGAGCTCCCCATCCTCCCCTAGGACCTCACTGTCCCATTGTCCTAAGGGAAGAGGGCAGCTCCCACCCTGCCCCAATGGGAGCACCGTGGTGGGAGGAAGAAGGGGTTTAGGGAGAGGGGTTTTAGTCCCTGGAATGGATGATTCAATGCATCTGTTTGCTCTGGATGTCAAAGATCCTAAAGGGAAGCCATGGGGCAAGAGGAGGGAATCAGTTCCTCATCTAACGGGGTACATGCGTGTTCTGTTGGTCCCTGTGAGGGAGCAGCTCTTCCCTGTGCGGGCGATGGGACCCTGGAATGGGGTGAACGGAGCAGCTGTGCCTGCCCCATCCCTGGCAGTGCTCAAGGCCAGGCTGGACACAGGATGAGCTTTAAGCTCCCTTCATCCCAATGCAGCGCGATTCCACCACTGAGACAGCACAAGGAGCAAGGAGAGCACCCAATGGGTTTGTGTGGCAAAGAACTGGGGGTCCTGGGAGGGGGGCAGAAAAGCCTCATTGGAGGCCCTGATTGCGGTTGCTACCCCAGTGCATCCCAGGTAACACAGGGACATCTCTGCGGGGTTGGTTATGGACCCAACAGCATCTCCAGTGCGCTGCTTGCCTCTGGCTGCCCTAAACCATCACCAGCACACGGGGGGGAGGGGTGGATGCAGCTTTACAGGAGCTGTCCCCTGCACACAGCTTACTCACGACATAGAAATCAAAGGGGATGTGCGGCACAAAGGGCCGGAACCTAAAGGGATAAAAGAAGACAAGAACCAACTTTATCCTCTGATGGTGCAGGGGGGGATCCCAACCACCCCACAGCCCAGCCCGGAGACGCCGGAAAAGCCCTATAGAAACAGGACAGGTTTCATCTGAGCCCCGCTATCCATAGCTCACCCCGCAGCCCGGTGCCAACGGGCGATGGCCACGCACCGGGGCTCCCCAGTGCCCGCAGGCCCGGAGGGGCCGCTCCATTCCAACCCCCCCCCAGTTTGTGCTCTACTCCTCATCGTTCTCCTGCACTACGCTGCCAGCTCCGACCCCCCCCCATGCCCGGCTCCTGCGCCCCGCAGCGCGGCCCCACCGGCCGCGGCCCCCCCGCTAGGTCCTGCCGTGCTAAAGAGCCACCCTCGCTAGAGCAGAAGCCAGACTCGCCCACTGCCAGGGCCTCCCCTGGAACCAAAGCGTCCGCCGCGGCCTCTGCCTCGGTCGCCCCTGCGGGAGAGAGCCGGAAACGGCGTTAACGGGGACCGGGAACCGGGACACCCCCATCCCCTCCCCATCCCATTCCCATACCCACCCCCATTCCTTTCCCATTCCCATCCCATTCCCTTCCCATCCCCTCTCCATCCCATTCCCATACCCGCCTCCATGCCATGCCCTTCCCATCCCATCCCCATCCTATCCCCATTCCTATCCCCATCCCATTCCCATACCCACCCCCATCCCATTTCCTTCCCATTCCCATCCTATCCCCATCCCCATTCCTATCCCCATCCCCATTCCTATCCCCATCCCATTCCCATCCCCATCCCATTCCCTTCCTATCCCATTCCCTTCCCATCCCCATCCCATTCCCATCCCCACCCCCATCCCATTCCCTTCCTATCCCATTCCCATCCCCATTCTCATCCTCATTCCATTCCCATACCCACCCCCATCCCATTCCCTTCCCAGCCCCATCCTATCCCCATGCCCATCCCCATCCCCATCCCTTCCCCATTCCCATCCCCACCCCCATCATATTCCCATCCCCATTCCCATTCCCATCCCCATGCCCCCCCATCCCATCCCCGTCCCATTTCCATCCCCGGACCTCATGATCCCGCCGTGCCCAACAATGAGACCCCGCCGCTCTGCGCTGCCGGCACCACGCAACAACCTGTTCGCCTATTGGCTCACGCAGGCTTAGCCCCGCCCACTGCCGGCGCGGGACTGGCACGCTATTGGTTGATGCGGATGCCGATCAAAGGGGGGGGGAAACGGGAGCGGTCGTGGCGCGGGTGGCCTCTGGAGGGGGTGCGATGGTCATAAATAAAGCGGAGGTTTGGTGCGCATGCGCAAAGGCGGAGTAGCTACTTACAGCGCTGATAGGAGACTTACAGCCAGCGAGCAGAGTGGCGCAGCGGAAGCGTGCTGGGCCCATAACCCAGAGGTCGATGGATCGAAACCATCCTCTGCTAACTCCCTTTTCCCTCTCCCCTCCCTCCTTTTCCCCTTCATTAACACTTTAATTAACGACATTCACTTTACCGGCGCTCCTCCCAACCGGCCCCTTCGCACCCTTACGGGCGCACGCTGCGTTCGGAGCGTCCGCGGACGGCCGCGCTCCCCGTGTCCCCAAACCCCCCCCAACTCGCGTCCGGAACCGCAGCAGCACCGCCCCGAGCCCCATTGAACCCCGACGGGGCGGTTCCGTGGGGGGAGTCTGTGAGGTTCCAGCACCCCCCCCTCTCCCTCCGTTTCCACGGGGGTCCCATCCCTAAACCCCCCTTCCCTTTTTAACCCCCCACGGGTGGAACTTCCCGCACCCACCACGGGGCGGCCCCATCCCGCAGCCCTCCGCGGGGGCGGGCAGGAAGGAGTTAAGCTCGGTGTGGATGATAACGGGAGGGGGAAGGAAGGGCTCAGCCCCGTTGTGCCGCTGGGTTGGGGGGGGGCAGTCCCAAGGTCCTTCTCCGTGGGGCGATGCTCGCGGTCGTGGCCGCGCTCTGGTGCGCGGCACCGACGGCAACGGCGACGGCGCTGACTTTGGCCGTGGTGCTCCCCGAGCGCAACCTGAGCTACCCCTGGGCTTGGCCACGCGTGGGCCCGGCCGTGCGCTTGGCCGTGAACGCCGTGAACGCGCGCCCCGACCTCCTGCCGGGCTTCACCCTGCGCTGGGTGTTCGGCAGCAGCGAGGACGGCCACGGCGTCTGCTCCGAGATGGCCGCGCCTTTGGCCGCCGTCGACCTGCAGCTCGCCCATCACCCCGCAGCCTTCCTCGGGCCCGGCTGCGTGTACACGGCGGCGCCGGTCGCCCGCTTCACCAGCCACTGGCGACTGCCGCTGGTGACGGCCGGGGCCGAAGCTCACGGCTTCGACGACAAACGGGAGCAGTTCGGGCTCACGACCCGAGCCGGTCCCAGCCACCGCAAGCTGGGCGAGTTGGGCGTGCAGCTCCATCGCCGCTTCAACTGGACCCGCCGGGCGCTGCTGGTCTATTGGGACGAGAAGGTCGACGACCGCCCCTACTTCTTCGCCGCCGAAGGGCTCTACGTGCAGCTGCCGGCCCTGCGCAACCTGACCGTGCTGGACGTGGTGTTCCGCGGGGGGGGGAACTTCTCCTTCATCATCCAGGAGATCAAGCACAAGGGGCGCGGTGGGTGCCGGGGGTGGAGGCAGGGAAAGGGGGGGACGCGCGGGGATGGGATCGGGCTGCTGCGGATGCGGGCGGAGGAAGGGGCTGCGCTCAGCCCGTGCTGGGAGCTGCTGGGAGCTGCTGGGAGCTGATGGGAGATGAAGAGTGCGGCCGCCAGCCCCTGTCCCGTCCCCATCCCATCTCCATCCCATCCCAATCCCCATCCCATCCCCATCCCTGTCCCCATTCCCATCCCTGTTCCCATCCCCATCCCATTCCCATCCCATCCCCATCCCTATCCCCATTCCTATCCCTATTCTCATTCCCACTCCCATCCCCATTCCCCTCAACACAGCTGTACCCAACTTTACATGGCTCTACACAGGTGTGTTGCATGACTGCACACATGGGTGCTGCCCTCACCCTATGTTGTGACCCACTGGGGGCCGCTGAGCATGGCCACCATTCCCATCCCCATTCCCATTCCCATTCCTATTCCCATCCCAGTTCCATTCCCATTCCTATTCCCATTCCTGTTCCCATCCCTATTCCCATCCCAATTCCATTCCCATCCCCATTCCCATTCCCTTTCCTATTCCCATCCCTGTTCCTATTCCCATCCCTATTCCCATCCCATTCCTATCCCTATTCCCATTCCCATTCTCATCCCCATTCTTACCCATGTTCCCATCCCAATCCCATTCCCATCCCATTCCCATCCCTATTCCCGTTTCCATCCCCATCCGCTCCAGCCGGAGCCAACGGGTGGTGCCGGCGGCGCTGGCGCTGGGTGGGTGCCATCCGGCCGTGCCCAATGGGTGCAGCGCTGGGGTAGGGGGGGCTGCCGGCCTCCCCCCCCCACAGGGCAGGTCCCTGGGGTCCCAGTGGATCCCGGGAGGGGGGGGCAGGAGCGGGGTCGCTCCATGGCCAGGGCCGGGCTCTGCCGGGCTCGGGCTCGGGCCCCGGGAGGAGGAAGCGGAGTCGGGAAAACAGGAAACCTGGAACGGGCATGGGGGGGGGCACCCCCGCTCCTGCGGGCCCGGGACAGGAACAGGAACAGGGCAAGGGAAGGCACCGGGATGGGAGCGGGGGGTGCAGGGGGGGACCGGGAATGGGGCTGGGACAGGGGACAGGAGACATCGGATAGGGTTGGGAGATGGGATAGGGGACATGGGATAGGGATGCGACATGGGATAGGGTTGGGAGATGGGATAGGGTTGGGAGATGGGATAGGGGACATGGGATAGGGATGCGACATGGGATAGGGTTGGGAGATGGGATAGGGTTGGGAGATGGGATGGGGTGGGTGGGTGGTGGGTGGGTTGGGAGATGGGATAGGGTGGGAGATGGGATAGGGGACATGGGATAGGGTGTGGGATGGGTTGGGAGATGGGATAGGGTTGGAGTGGGGGACATGGGATAGGGTGGAATGGATAGGGTTGGGAGATGGATAGGGTTATGGGACATGGGATAGGGTTGGGAGATGGGATAGGGTTGGGAGATGGGATAGGGTGGGACATGGGATAGGGTTGGGAATGGGATAGGGTGGGATGGGTGGAAGGGATGGGAGATGGGATGGGTGGGACATGGGATAGGGTGGGAATGGGATAGGGTTGGGAGATGGGATAGGGTGGGAGATGGGATAGGGTGGGAGATGGGATAGGGGAATGGGATGGGTGGGAATGGGATAGGGTTGGGAGTGGGTGGGTGGGTGGTGGGATAGTGTTGGGAGATGGGATAGGGTTGGGACATGGGGTAGGGTTGGGACATGGGATAGGGTTGGGACATGGGATAGGGCTGGGAGATGGGATAGGGATGGGAGATGGGATAGGGTTTGGAGATGGGATAGGGTTGGGAGATGGGATAGGGTTGGGACATGGGATAGGGCTGGGACATGGGATAGGGTTGGGACATGGGATAGGGTTGGGACATGGGGTAGGGTTGGGACATGGGATAGGGCTGGGACATGGGATAGGGCTGGGAGATGGGATTTAAGTTCTGAGGGACATAGGATGGAGCTGTGGACATGGGATGGAGCTGGAGTTGCCAATGGACATGGGATGGAGCTGGGGAAATGGGGATAAGGGGACAGGGGATGGAGCAAAATGGGATGGAGCTGGAGCTGCTGAGGATCATGGGATGTAGCAGGGGGATGGACACAGGATGTCCCTGGTGTCCATAGGCAGGGATGGGGATGTCCCTGGTTGCCATGGGCAGGGATGGGGATGTCCCTGGTTGTCATGGGCAGGGATGGGGATGTCTCCATTGCCATGGGCAGGGATGGGGATGTCCCTGGTGTCCATAGGCAGGGATGGGGATGTCCCTGGTTGCCATGGGCAGGGATGGGGATGTCCCTGGTTGCCATGGGCAGGGATGGGGATGTCTCCATTGCCATGGGCAGGGATGGGGATGTCCCCGCTGTCCATGGGCAGGGATGGGGATGTCCCCGGTGTCCATGGGCAGGGATGGGGATGTCCCCAGTGTCCATGGGCAGGGATGGGGGTGTCCCCGTTGCCATGGGCAGGGATGGGGATGTCCCCGTTGCCATGGGCAGGGATGGGGTGTCCCGTGTGGGGGTGGGGTGTGTGTGGGGGTGGGGTGTGTGTGGGGTGGGGTGTGTTGGGGGGTGGGGGTGTGTTGTGGGGGTGGGGGTGTGTTGTGGGGGTGGGGGTGTGTTGTGGGGTGGGGTGTCGGTTGCCATGGGCAGGGATGGGGATGTCCCCGTTGCCATGGGCAGGGATGGGGGTGTCCCCGTTGCCATGGGCAGCGATGGGGGTGTCCCGGTTGCCATGGGCAGCGATGGGGGTGTCCCGGTTGCCATGGGCAGGGATGGGGATGTCCCCGGTGTCCATGGGCAGGGATGGGGATGTCCCCGGTTGCCATGGGCAGGGATGGGGATGTCCCCGGTTGCCATGGGCAGGGATGGGGATGTCCCCGGTGTCCATGGGCAGGGATGGGGATGTCCCCGGTGTCCATGGGCAGGGATGGGGATGTCCCCGGTGTCCATGGGCAGGGATGGGGATGTCCCCGGTGTCCATGGGCAGGGATGGGGATGTCTCCGTTGCCACGGGCAGGGATGGGGGTGTCCCCGTTGCCATGGGCAGCGATGGGGGTGTCCCCGTTGCCATGGGCAGGGATGGGGGTGTCCCCGTTGCCATGGGCAGGGATGGGGGTGTCCCCGTTGCCATGGGCAGGGATGGGGATGTCTCCGTTGCCATGGACAGGGATGGGGGTGTCCCCGGTGTCCATGGGCAGGGATGGGGGTGTCTCCGTTGCCATGGGCAGGGATGGGGGTGTCTCAGGCCGCTGCCCTGCCCCTCCCGCAGTGGTTTACGTGTGCTGCGCCCCGGGCACGCTGCGGGAGCTGCTGCTGCAGGCGGAGCGCGAGGGGCTCACGCGCGGGGACTTCGTCTTCTTCTACATCGACATCTTCGGGGCCAGCCTGCAGGGGAGCCGCTTCCCCGAGCCCCAGCGGCCCTGGAGGCGCGGGGACCGCCACGATGCGGCCGCACGCAGGGCCTTCGAGGTGGGTGCCACCGGTACCCATTGTGTGTGTAATACCGGTACCCATCGTGGGTGATACCGGTACCCATCATGTGTGTGTGATTGTGGGTGATACTGGTACCCACTGTGTGTGTGATACTGGTACCCATCGTGTGTGTGTGACACCGGTACCCATCGTATGTGACACTGAGACCATCATGTGTGATACTGGTACCCATTGTGTGATACTGGTACCCATCGTATGTGTGTGACACCAGTACCCATCGTGGGTGACACCGGTACCCATCGTGTGTGATACCGGTACCCATCGTATGTGTGTGACACCGGTACCCATCATGTGTGACACTGGTACCCATTGTGTGTGGCACTGGTACCCATCATGTGTGACACCAGTACCCATCGTGTGTGATACCGGTACCCATCATGTGTGCCACTGGAACCCATTGTGTGTGACACTGGTACCCATCATGTGTGTCACACTGGTACCCAATGTGTGTGGTACCGGTACCCATTGTGTGTGACACCAGTATCTGTCATGTGTGTGATACTGGTACCCATCATGTGTGTCACACTGGTACCCATCATGTGTGTGACACTGGTACCCATCTTGTGTGGTACCGGTACCCATCGTGTGTGATACCGGTACCCATCGTGTGTGACACTGGTACCCATCGTGTGTGATACCGGTACCCATCATGTGTGATGCTGGTACCCATCGTGTGTGATACCGGTACCCATCATGTGTGTGATAACGGTACTCATCGTGTGTGATACCGGTACCCATTGTGTGTGACACTGGTACCCACCGTGTCTGAGCATCACGATGCACTGGGTGCTCCTCATTTGGAAGGGCTGCAGCTGATGGCCCCGTGTCCCAGCTCCATCCGCTCTCCCCTCCCAGGCCGTCACCATCATCACCTACAGGGAGCCCACAAACCCCGAGTACCGGCCCTTCCTGGCGCGCCTCAAGGCGGAGGCCATGGCTCACTTCAACTTCTCCATGAAGGACGGCTTGGTGGGACATAGGGATGGGAACGGGAAAGCTGAGGGGTGACGGGAACGGGCATAGGGGACAAATCCTATAGGGTGGGGATGGAGCTGCTGAGGGATGCGGGATGGGCAAGGGGGTATGGGATGGATGGGACATGGGAGGGAGATGGAGCTGCTGGAGCTGCTGAGGGCCATGGGATGGAGATAGGGACATGGGGACGAGGGGACACGGGGTGGAGCTGAAGCCGTTCCCCACCCCGAGCTGTCCCCGTGCCCCCAGATGAACTTCATCGCGGCCGCCTTCCACGACGGGGTCCTGCTCTATGCACAGGCCCTCAACGAGACGCTGGAGCGCGGGGGCTCCATCAGCAACGCCACAGCCATCACCCGCCAGATGTGGAACCGCACCTTCTATGGTGGGTCCCATCCCCATCCCATGCTATCCCCATCCCATCTCATTCCACCCCCTCCCATCCCCATCCCATCCTGTCCCCATCCCATCACATCCCATCCTATCTCATCTCATTCCATCCCATGTGCATCCCATCCCAATCCCTCCCCATCCCATCCCCATCCCATTCACATCCCCATCCCATCCCAATCTCTCCCCATCCCATTCTCATCCCCTTCCCATCCCATCACATCTCATCCCACCCCATCATCATCCCCATCCCTATCCCATTTCATCCAATCCCATCCCCATCCCACCTCATCCCATCCCATTCCCATCCCATCCACATCCCACCCCATGCCATCCCCATCCCATCTCATCTCATACCCATCCCATCCCTCCCCATTCCATCCCATCCCATCACATCCACATCCCATCCCTCCCCATCCCATCCCATCTCATCTCATTCCATCCCATTCCATCCCATCCCATCCGCATCCCATCCCTCCCCATCTCATCCCATCTCATCTCATTCCATCCCATCCAGATCCCATCCCACTACCTCCCCATCCCATCCCCATCCCATTCCCATCCCATCCCATCTCATCCCATCCCCATCCTCATCCACATCCCATCTCATCCCATTCCATTCCAATCCCATCTCATTTCACCCCATCCCCATCCCATCCCCTCCCATCCCCTCCATACCTCCCCCATGTCACCCCCAGGTGTCACCGGTTTCCTGAAGATCGATGAGAACGGTGACCGGGAGAGCGATTATTCCCTATGGGACATGGACCCGGTGCTGGGGGACTTCCAGGTGAGCCCGGGTGCGGGGAGCACGGCTCCCATGGGGGGACCGGGGGCCTCCTCCCACCCTCTCCCCCCTCGTCCCCCATCAGATCGTGGCCAACTACAACGGCACCACCAAGCAGCTCCAGATGGTGCCGGGCCGGGCCATCCATTGGCCAGGGAACGTGGTCCCCTCCGACGTCCCCCCCTGTGGCTTTGACAACAGCGACCCCCAATGCCACAAAGGTGAGGGGTGTCCATGGGGGGGCACACAAGGGGCATGGACCCCCCCGAACCCGGTCACCCATCGGCCTCCTGCCACCCTGCAGGGAGCCTGTCCAGCCTGGAGCTCCTGTCCCTTGTGGTGAGCATCCTCCTCCTGGCCATCACCGTCACCTCCTTCTTCATCTACAGGTGGGTGCTGGGGGGCCCGGGGTGCTGGGGATGGACGGGCAGGGGGGGTCATGGGGGTGCTGCTCGGAGCAGGAAGCTGGCGCTGGAGAAGGAGCTGGCGGCCGAGCTGTGGAGGATCCGGTGGGAGGATGTGGAGATGAGCAGCTTGGAGAAGCACCTGAGGAGCACTGGGAGCAAACTCACCCTGTCCATGGTGAGAGGGGATGGGAGCAGGGGTGGGAGCAGGGGTGGGAGCAGGGGTGGGAGCAGGGGATGGGAGCAGGGGATGGGAGCAGGGGATGGGAGCAGGGGATGGGAGAGGGGATGGGAGCAGGGGATGGAGGGGATGGGAGCAGGGGTGGAGCAGGGATGGGGGGATGCAGGGGATGGGAGGGGGACGGAGCAGGGGATGGAGGGGATGGGAGCAGGGGATGGAGGGGATGGGAGCAGGGGATGGAGGGGATGGGGAGCAGGGGGTGGAGGGGATGGGAGCAGGGGGTGGAGGGGGATGGGAGCAGGGGATGGGAGCAGGGGGTGGAGGGGATGGGAGCAGGGGATGGAGGGGATGGAGAGCAGGGTTGGGGGTGATGGAGCAGGGGATGGAGGGGATGGGAGCAGGGGATGGAGGGGATGGGAGCAGGGAATGGAGGGGATGGGAGCAGGGGATGGAGCAGGGAGGGGGGATGGGGGGATGGAGGGATGGGAGCAGGGGATGGAGGGGATGGAGCAGGGGGTGGGATGGAGGGATGGGAGGGAGCAGGGGATGGAGGGGATGGGAGCAGGGAGGGAGCAGGGGATGGGATGGAGCAGGGGATGGAGGGGATGGAGCAGGGATGGAGGGGATGGCAGGGGGTGGAGGGGATGGAGGGGATGGAGGGGATGGGAGCAGGGGTGGAGGGGGATGGGAGCAGGGGTGGGGGGAGCAGGGGATGGGAGCAGGGGATGGGAGCAGGGGATGGGAGCAGGGGATGGAGGGGATGGGAGCAGGGGATGGAGGGGATGGAGGAGCAGGGGATGGGAGGGGATGGAGGGGATGGGAGCAGGGGATGGAGGGGATGGGAGCAGGGGATGGAGGGGAGCAGGGTGGAGGGGAGGGGTGGAGGGGATGGGAGCAGGGGATGGAGGGGATGGGAGCAGGGGGTGGAGGGGATGGGAGCAGGGGATGGGAGCAGGGGGTGGAGGGGATGGGAGCAGGGGATGGAGGGGATGGGAGCAGGGGGTGGAGGGGATGGGAGCAGGGTTTGGGGGTGATGGGAGCAGGGTTTGGGGGTGATGGGAGCAGGGTTTGGGGGTGATGGGAGCAGGGGATGGGGGTGATGGGAGCAGGGACATGGCTCATGCCTCCTCCCTCCCCACCAGAGGGGCTCCAACTACGGCTCATTGATGACCACAGAGGGGCAGTTCCAGGTCTATGCCAAGACCGCCTATTACAAGGTACCCTGGGAAGGGCCCTTGAAGCCCATCCCTTCCCCTGGCCCCGCTGCAGGGCTATGGGGTGGGGGGCTCCTCCCCATCCCCTTGTGCCTCCCCAGGGGAACCTGGTGGCCGTGAAGCACCTGAACCGGCCGCGCATCGAGCTCACGCGCAAGGTCCTCTTCGAGCTCAAGCACGTAGGTGAAGGCCTCGGCCCCCAGGGGTGGGGAGGGCCCTGGGGCCGGTCCCAGCCCCTGCTCCCCTCTCTCAGATGCGGGATGTCCAGAACGAGCACCTCACCCGCTTCATCGGCGCCTGCACCGACCCCCCCAACATCTGCATCCTGACCGAGTACTGCCCCCGGGGCAGCCTGCAGGTACCCCCAGGGACCACCTGCACCCCTCGGGGTGGGGATGCTCCATCCGGTACCCATCGGGGTGGGGATGCTCCATCCGGTACCCATCAGGGATGGGGATGCTCCATCCGGTACCCATCGGGGTGGGGATGCTCCATCCAGCACCCATTGGGGTGGGGATGCTCCATCCGGCACCCATCGGGGATGGGGATGCTCCATCCGGTACCCATCGGGGTGGGGATGCTCCATCCGGCACCCATTGGGGTGGGGATGCTCCATCCGGCACCCATCGGGGATGGGGATGCTCCATCCGGTACCCATCGGGGTGGGGATGCTCCATCCAGCACCCATTGGGGTGGGGATGCTCCATCCGGCACCCATCGGGGATGGGGATGCTCGCTCCAGCACCCATCAGGGATGGGGATGCTCCATTTGGAACCCATCAGGGATGGGGATGCTCCATTCGGAACCCATCAGGGATGGGGATGCTCCATCCAGCACCCATCAGGGTGGGGATGCTCCATCCGGCACCCATCAGGGTGGGGATGCTCCATTCGGAACCCATCGGGGTGGGGATGCTCCATTCGGAACCCATTGGGGTGGGGATGCTCCATCCAGCACCCATCAGGGATGGGGATGCTCCATCCGGCACCCATTGGGGTGGGGATGCTCCATTTGGATCCCATCAGGGTTGGGGATGCTCCCTCCAGCACCCATCAGGGATGGGGATGCTCCATTCGGAACCCATCAGGGATGGGGATGCTCCATCCAGCACCCATCAGGGATGGGGATGCTCCATTCGGAACCCATCAGAGATGGGGATGCTCCATCCAGCACCCATCAGGGATGGGGATGCTCCATTCAGAACCCATCAGGGTGGGGATGCTCCATTCAGAACCCATCAGGGTGGGGATGCTCCATTCGGAACCCATCAGGGATGGGGATGCTCCATCCAGCACCCATCAGGGATGGGGATGCTCCATTTGGAACCCATCAGGGATGGGGATGCTCCATTCAGAACCCATCAGGGATGGGGATGCTCCATTCGGAACCCATCAGGGATGGGGATGCTCCATCTGGCACCCATCGGGGTTGGGGATGCTCCATTCGGAACCCATCAGGGATGGGGATGCTCCATCCGGCACCCATCAGGGTGGGGATGCTCCATTCGGAACCCATCAGGGATGGGGATGCTCCATCCGGCACCCATCAGGGATGGGGATGCTCCATTCGGAACCCATCAGGGATGGGGATGCTCCATCCGGCACCCATCAGGGATGGGGATGCTCCATTCAGAACCCATCAGGGATGGGGATGCTCCATTCGGAACCCATCAGGGATGGGGATGCTCCATCCAGCACCCATCAGGGTGGGGATGCTCCATTCGGAACCCATCAGGGATGGGGATGCTCCATCCGGCACCCATCAGGGTGGGGATGCTCCATTCGGAACCCATTGGGGTGGGGATGTTCCATTCGGAACCCATCGGGGTTGGGGATGCTCCATTTGGAACCCATCAGGGTGGGGATGCTCCATCCAGCACCCATCAGGGATGGGCATGCTCCATCCGGCGCCCATCAGGGATGGGGATGCTCCACTTGGGACCCATCAGGACCGGAGCTGCTCTCTGGGTGCCTGTGCTGGGAGGAGCCAATGGATGCTGGTCTCCATCCCAGCCCATCCCATGCTGGTGCTGTGGTCCTCAGGACATCCTGGAGAACGAGAGCATCACCTTGGACTGGATGTTCCGCTATTCCCTCACCCACGACATTGTCAAGGTAAGAGACGGGGACCCCCAATCCCCGCATCCCCATTCCCAACACTGGGAACAGCCACAGGCCTGACCCCCCCGAACCCCCCCAGGGGATGCAGTTCCTGCACAACGGCGTCATCGTCTCCCATGGGAACCTCAAGTCCTCCAACTGCGTGGTGGACAGCCGCTTCGTGCTCAAGATCACCGACTATGGGCTGGAGAGCTTCCGCCTGCCCCCCGATGGAGAGGACACCCACGTGCTCTTCGCCAGTGAGCACCCAACCCTATCCCCCCCCCCAGCACCCATGGTCCCTGCTCGCCCTCAGCACCCTCTTGGTGGCACAGAGAAGCTGTGGACGGCGCCCGAGCTCTTGAGGATGGAGTCGCCCCCGGGCCGTGGTACCCAGAAGGGCGATGTCTACAGCTTCGGCATCATCCTGCAGGAGATCGCCCTGCGCAACGGGGTCTTCTACGTGGAGGGGATGGACCTCAGCCCCAAAGGTTGGGGGCAGGAGGAGCTGATGGGCGCTTGGACCTTCCGATGGGTGCCTGGACCTTCCGATGGGTGCTTGGACCTGCTGTGATGGGTGCCTGGATGTGCTGTGATGGGTGCTTGGACCTCCTGATGGGTGCTTGGACCTCCTGATGGGTGCTTGGACCTGCCAATGGATGCTTGGACCTGCCAATGGATGCTTGGACCTGCCAATGGATACTTGGATGTGCTGTGATGGATGCTTGGACCTCCTGATGGGCACTTGGATGTGCTGTGATGGGTGCTTGGACCTGCCAATGGATGCTTGGATGTGCTGTGATGGGTGCTTGGACCTCCCGATGGGTGCTTGGACCTTCCGATGGGTGCTTGGACCTTCCGATGGGTGCTTGGACCTGCTGTGATGGGTGCCTGGATGTGCTGTGATGGGTGCTTGGACCTCCTGATGGGTGCTTGGATGTGCTGTGATGGGTGCCTGGATGTGCTGTGATGGGTGCTTGGACCTCCTGACGGGTGCTTGGACCTCCTGATGGGTGCTTGGACCTGCCAATGGATGCTTGGACCTCCTGATGGGTGCTTGGATGTGCTGTGATGGATGCTTGGACCTCCTGATGGGTGCTTGGACCTGCTGTGATGGGTGCCTGGATGTGCTGTGATGGGTGCTTGGACCTCCTGACGGGTGCTTGGACCTGCCAATGGATGCTTGGACCTGCCAATGGATGCTTGGACCTGCCAATGGATGCTTGGATGTGCTGTGATGGGTGCTTGGACCTCCTGATGGGTGCTTGGACCTGCCAATGGATGCTTGGGTGTGCTGTGATGGGTGCTTGGACCTGCTGTGATGGGGTTTTGGACCTCCTGATGAGTGCTTGGACCTCTTGCAATGGGTTGTTGGAGCTGCCAACGGATGCTTTGACCTGCCAGTGGGTGCTTGGATGTGCTCTGATGGGTGCTTGCACCTCCTGATGGGTGCTTGGACCTTCCGATGGGTGCTTGGATCCACGGATGGGTGCCGGGACCAGCGGATGGGTGCTGCTCCCCTCTGACGGGTGCTGTCCCCCCAGAGATCATCGAGCGGGTGAAGAGCGGCGAGCGCCCCAGCTTCCGCCCCTCGGCAGCCGTCGGGTGCCAGCTGGAGGAGCTGGGGCAGCTCATGCAGCTCTGCTGGGCCGAGGACGCCCTGGAGCGCCCGGACTTCAACCACATCAAGGTGCAGCTCCGCAAGTTCAACAGGTACTGGACCAGCCCCATGCCCATCCCCATCCCCATCCCCATCCCCATCCCCATCCCCATCCCATCCCCATCCCCACCCCATCCCAATCCCATCCCATCCCCATCCCATCCCCATCCCAATGCGATCCCATCCCCATCCCAATGCGATCCCATCCCCATCCCAATGCGATCCCATCCCCATCCCATCCCCATCCCCATCCCCATCCCATCCCCATCCCCATCCCCATCCCCATCCCCATCCCATCCCCATCCCCATCCCATCCCATCCCCATCCCATCCCATCCCCATCCCCATCCCATCCCCATCCCATCCCCATCCCATCCCCATCCCCATCCCCACCCCATCCCCACCCCCATCCCATCCCCATCCCATCCCCATCTGACCCCATCCCCATCCCATCCCATCCCCATCTCCAGCCCCACCAGCAGGGACCCCCATGGGTCCCCAGGTGGGTGCTGAGCCCCTGCCCGCAGGGGGAGCAGCAGCAACATCCTGGACAACCTGCTGTCCCGCATGGAGCAGTACGCCAACAACCTGGAGGAGCTGGTGGAGGAGCGCACCCAGGCCTACCTGGAGGAGAAGCGCAAGGCGGAGGCGCTGCTCTACCAGATCCTGCCCCAGTGAGCACCCAGGGGGTTCCTATAGGGCCCTCCCCATCCCTGCTCTACCAGATCCTGCCCCAGTGAGCACCCAGGGGGTTTCTATAGGGCCCTCCCTGTCCCGCTGGGTACCACGGCAGCATCCCCCCATCCTGCCCTGCTGGGGTGGGTGCTGGGAGGTGGTGATGGGTGCTTGGAGCTGGTGTGGTTGGAGCTGGTGTGGTGGGTGATTGGACGTGGTGATGGGTGCTTGGACATGGTGATGGGTGATCCCATCCTGAGTGGGACCAGGGCTGAGCATCCTCAGGGGGACCGTGGCTGAGCATCCTCAGTGGGACCAGGGCTGAGCATCCTCAGTGGGACCAGGGCTGAGCATCCTCAGTGGGACCAGGGCTGAGCATCCTCAGCGGGACCGGGGCTGAGCATCCTCAGAGGGACCAGTGCTGAGCATCCTCAGTGGGACTGGGGCTGAGCATCCTCAGTGGGACCGGGGCTGAGCATCCTCAGAGGGACCGGGGCTGAGCATCCTCAGGGGGACTGGGGCTGAGCATCCTCAGTGGGACCAGAGCTGAGCATCCTCAGAGGGACCGGGGCTGAGCATCCTCAGGGGGACCGGGGCTGAGCATCCTCAGTGGGACCGGGGCTGAGCATCCTCAGTGGGACCGGGGCTGAGCATCCTCAGTGGGACCGGGGCTGAGCATCCTCAGAGGGACCGGGGCTGAGCATCCTCAGTGGGACCGGGGCTGAGCATCCTCAGTGGGACCAGGGCTGAGCATCCTGAGTGGGACCAGAGCTGAGCATCCTGAGTGGGACCGGGGCTGAGCATCCTCAGTGGGACCGGGGCTGAGCATCCTCAGTGGGACCGGGGCTGAGCATCCTCAGTGGGACCGGGGCTGAGCATCCTCAGTGGGACCGGGGCTGAGCATCCTCAGTGGGACCGGGGCTGAGCATCCTCAGTGGGACCGGGGCTGAGCATCCTCAGTGGGACCGGGGCTGAGCATCCTCAGTGGGACCGGGGCTGAGCATCCTCAGTGGGACCGGGGCTGAGCATCCTGAGTGGGACCGGGGCTGAGCATCCTCAGTGGGACCAGGCCCATCTCAAATGAGACCCCTCAGCCCCCCCCACCCCATTAATGACTCAGGCACCCCCATGCACCCCATCTCCCCTCTCCCACCCCACAGCTCGGTAGCGGAGCAGCTGAAGCGGGGCGAGACGGTGCAGGCGGAGGCCTTCGACAGCGTCACCATCTACTTCAGCGACATCGTGGGCTTCACGGCGCTGTCGGCGCAGAGCACCCCCATGCAGGTGGTGACGCTGCTCAACGACCTCTACACCTGCTTCGACGCCATCATCGACAACTTCGACGTCTACAAGGTTTGGGGTTGGGGTTGGGGTGCATCCCATTGAGGACCCCCCCCCCAATAGGATGCGGTTGCACCCCACGGCTGCCCCCGTGCCCAGGTGGAGACCATCGGCGATGCCTACATGGTGGTGTCGGGGCTGCCGGTGCGCAACGGGAAGCAGCACGCGCCCGAGGTGGCGCGGATGGCGCTGGCCCTGCTCGAGGCCGTGCGCTCCTTCCGCATCCGGCACCGGCCCCAGCAGCAGCTGGAGCTGCGCATCGGGGTGCACACGGGTGGGAGCATCGGGGATGGGGGGGGGGAATGGGAGGGCAATGGGGATGGGGGGCAATGGGGGGCAATGGGGATGGGGGAGCCCATGGGGGGCAATGGGGATGGGGGTATCATGGGGGTAATGAGGATGGGGGAGTCCATGGGGGCAATGGGGATGGGGGACAATGGGGATGGGGGGTAATGGGGGTAATGGGGGGCAATGGGGATGGGGGGCATGGGGGGTAATGGGGATGGGGGGAATGGGGATGGGGGAAAGTGGGGGCAATGGGGATGGGGGGAATGGGGATGGGGGAAATGGGGGGCAATGGGGATGGGGGGGCATGGGGGGAATGGGGATGGGGGAGCTTGGGAGGGCAATGGGGATGGAGGGGCATGGGGGGGCAATGGGGATGGGGGGCAATGGGGATGGGGGGGCATGGGGGGTAATGGGGATGGGGGAGCCCATGGGGGGCAATGGGGATGGGGGGGCATGGGGGGTAATGGGGATGGAGGAGCCCATGGGGGGCAATGGGAATGGGGGGCAATGGGGATGGGGGGGAATGGGGGGCAATGGGAATGGGGGGCAATGGGGATGGGGGGCATAGGGGGGCATGGGGGCAATGGGGATGGGGGCAATGCGGGGGAATGGGGATGGGGGGAATGGGGATGGGGGGCATGGGGGGCAATGGGAATGGGGGAGATGGGGGAGCAATGGGGATGGCGGGGCAATGGGGGGGAATGGGGATGGGGGGAAATGGGGGGGAATGGGGATGGGGGGCAATGGGGGGCAATGGGGATGGGGAAATGGGGGGGAATGGGGATGGGGAGTTCATGGGGGGCAATGAGGATGGGGGGGCATGGAGGGCAATGGGGATGGGGGAGCCCATGGGGGCAATGGGGACGGGGGGGCATGGGGGGCAATGGGGATGGGGAGCCCATGGGGGGCAATGGGGATGGGGATCCCATGGGAGTCAGTGGGGATGCAGGTCCCATAGCGGTCAATGGGGATGGGGAGCCCATGGGAGTCAGTGGGGATGGTGGGCCCATAGGGGCCAGTTGGGATGGGAGAGCCATGGGGGTCAATGGGGATGGGGGACCTATGGGGGTCAATGGGGATGAGGGAGGCATGGGGGTCAGTGGGGATGGGAACATGGAAGCCATATGGGTCAATGGGGACAGGGAACCCCCTTGGGTCAATGGAGATGGGGACATGGCCATAGCACCCACAGAGGTCAATGGGCACCCAGCCCTCCCATGGAGCCCAGGGGGCAGTGGGGCCGTGTGGGCTGGGAGCCATGGGGGGTGCTCACTGGGTGCCCCCCAGGACCCGTCTGTGCCGGGGTTGTGGGGCTCAAGATGCCCCGGTACTGCCTGTTCGGGGACACGGTGAACACGGCCTCGCGCATGGAGTCCAATGGGGAAGGTGAGGGCACCCATGGGTGCTGATGGGGACCTATGGGTGGTGATGGGCATCAATGGGTGTTGATGGGCACCTATGGGTGCTGATGGGGACCTATGGGAGCTGATGGGGACCTATGGGTGCTGATGGGCACCTATGGGTAGTGATGGGCACCTATGGGTGTTGATGGGCACCTATGGGTGGTGATGGGCACCTATGGGTGGTGATGGGCACCTATGGGAGCTGATGGGCACCCATGGGTGCTGATGGGCCCCTATGGGTGCTGATGGGCACCCATGGGAGCTGATGGGCACCTATGGGAGCTGATGGGCCCCTATGGGTGGTGATGGGCCCCTATGGGTGGTGATGGGGACCTATGGGAGCTGATGGGGACCTATGCGTGCTGATGGGCACCCATGGGAGCTGGTGGGCCCCTATGGGTATTGATGGGCACCCATGGGAGCTGATGGGCCCCCATGGGTACTGATGGGCCCCTATGGGTACTGATGGGCCCCTATGGGTATTGATGGGCCCCTATGGGTACTGATGGGCCCCTATGGGTACTGATGGGCACCCATGGGTATTGATGGGCCCCTATGGGTACTGATGGGCCCCTATGGGAGCTGATGGGCCCCTATGGGTACTGATGGGCCCCTATGGGTATTGATGGGCCCCCATGGGTACTGATGCCCCCCCGGGTGCCGCCGGTCCCCCAGCGCTCAGGATCCACATCTCCGCTGCCACCAAGGCCGTGCTGGAGGAGTTCGGCTGCTTCGAGCTGGAGCTCCGGGGGGACGTGGAGATGAAGGCGGGTCCTGACCCCCCCCCGTACCCCCCAATGGGGGCCCCAATGGGGTCCATCCCCCCTCTTGTCTGATGCCCCCCCCTCTCCCCACAGGGCAAGGGGAAGGTGAGGACCTATTGGCTGCTGGGGGAGCGGGGGGGCAGCACCCGGGGCTGACCCCCCCCAGTGCATCCCAATGGACCCCAGTGCACCCCAATGGACACCAATGGACCTCAATGAACCCCAGTGCATCCCAATGGACCCCATGGGACCCTCTGGGCACAGGCATTGGAGAGGGGGGGTCCATGGCTTTTGGGGGGGGGGAGGTTTGGGGCCGGTTTGGGGGGGGTCATGAGAGCTCTAATTTTGTAATAAAGGTGATGTGGACATGGGGTGATGGAGCCGGTCCTGAGACCCACATTGGGGTTCCTCCTGCGCCCCACATTGGGGACCATCCTGAGCCCCACATCCCTGAGCTCCCCATTGGGTACCATCCTGAGCCCCACATCCCTGCACCCCACAATGGGCTCCTCTCTTGCGCCCCACATCCCTCAGCCCCACATCGGGGTCCGTTCCCTGCGCCCCACATCGGGAGTCCCCTCCTGTGCCCCACATCAGGGGTCCCTTCCTGCACCCCACATCCTGAGCCCCACATCGGGGTCCCTTCCTGCGCCTCACATCGGGGGTCCGTTCCCTGCGCCCCACATCGGGATCCCGTCCTGTGCCCCACATCGGGGGTTCCATCCCTGCGCCCCACAACGGGGTCCTCTCCTGTGCCCCACACCGGGTCCCTTCTCTGCGTCCCACATCCCTGTGCCCTACATCCAGGTCTTCTCCTGTGCCCCACATCGGGGGTTCCATCCCTGCGCCCCACATCGGGTCCCCCCGCCCGCTCCCACCGCGTGGGTCCCGTCGGGTCGCTCCCGCCTCCCCCTCCCCGCAGAAGGGGCGGAGCATCCACCTCCGCAAAGCCCCTCCCCTCCCACCCCATTGGCCATTCACCCCTCTTATCTCCTCCCCCCACCCCATTGGCTATATCCCCCCATTTAATCCCCGCCCCTCTCCTCCCAGCCACTCACCCATCACTCCCAGCCCTATCCCCGCTCCCATTGGCCAGCGGGTAGGGAGGGGGCGGGCTCTTCCGGCCTCGCCGCTCTTCCTCTTCCCGCAGGGCCCCGCCGTGTCTCTCCGGTGCCTTCCGGGCCCCCCCATAGGGGCTGTGTCCCCCCCCCATAGCCCCTATACCCCCCTATACCCCCTCTATACCCCCCTATATCCCCCCTATATCCCCTATATCCCCCCTATACCTCTCCTATATCCCCTATCTCCCCCCCTATATCCCCTATACACCCCATAGGGCAGCCCCATAGCACGGCCCTAGGCCCCCTCCATTGCCCATAAGGAACCCCCCGCCCTCCTCCTCCTCCTCCTCAGGTGAGGAAGAGCGGGGTGGGGGGGGCTCGCTCGGGGGGGTCCCTGCTCCGTTGCCCCCCCCCCCCCCCCCCCCCCAGCCATGGAGATGGGGAAGGGGAAGGGGGGAGCGGGGGGGAAGTTGCTGGTTTCAACCCTCCTGGATGCCAAGGATGAGCTGGAGGAGGTAGGTGATGGGGGGGATACAGGGAGGAAGGGGTACAGGGAGGTAGGGAGGTAGGGATGAAGGGGTACAGGGATGTAGGGATGAAGGGATATAGGGATGTAGGGGTAATGCAGGGGTACAGGGATGATGTAGGGATACAGGGGTGCAGGGATAATGCAGGGGTGCAGGGATGATGTAGGGATGAAGGGGTGCAGGGATAATGTAGGGGTACAGGGGTGATGTAGGGATACAGGGGTGCAGGGATAATGCAGGGGTGCAGGGATGCCAGGATACAGGGGTGCAGGGATGAAGGCGTGCAGGGATACAGGGATGCCGAGATACAGGGATACAGGGGTATAGGGGTGCAGGGGTACAAAGATGCAGGGATACAGGGGTACAGGGGTGCAGAGGTAATGCAGGGGTACAAAGATGCAGGGGTGCAAAGATTCAGGGGTACATGGATAGAGGTATACAGGGATGCAGGGATGCAGTTATACAGAGATGCAAGGATACAGGTATACTGGGATACAGGGATGCAGGGATACAGGGATAGGGCGCTGGGAATGGAGGCGGCAGCACCGAGGCAGCGCTTCCCAGTGAGGGTGCTGGGGCACCGGGATGGGTTCAATGGAGGAGCTTTGGATGCTTCCTGACAGCCAATGGGAGCCGTCCTGTGCCCTGTCCCTGAGCTCCATCCCATTCCATGATTCCCATTGGGCTTTTCCCTTTGGGATAGGGTCTGCTCCTATCCAAGGAGCATTGGGACCACGTTGCTGTGACAAGGGATGGCTTTTATCCCGCGGGATCCTAGGTTCAGGAATGCTGCTGCTTGTCCCCAGGGCGAGGGCTGGAGGTTGAGTGATGGAAACGAATGTAGTGGAGGCTCCCAGAGTGATCCAGAGGAGGGAGAGCATCCCATTGGCTTTGAGCTGCAGGGGGAAACAGGGTGGCGGTGGGAATAACACCATCCCGATGGGACTAGCACTGTCCTGGTGGGAATAATGCCATCCAGATGGGAATAATGCTGTCCTGGTGGGAATAATGCCATCCCAATGGGAATAACACTGTCCTGGTGGGAATAACACCATCCCAATGGGAATAACACTGTCCTGGTGGGAATAACACCATCCCAATGGGAATAACACTGTCCTGGTGGGAATAATGCCATCCCAATGGGAATAACACCATCCCGGTGGGAATAATGCCATCCCAGTGGGAATAATGCCATCCCAATGGGAATAATGCCATCCCAATGGAAATAACACCATCCCAATGGGAATACCACCATCCCGGTGGGAATAACACCATCCCGATGGGAATACCACCGTCCCGATGGGAATAACGCCATTCCAATGGGAATACCACCATCTTAATGGGAATACCACCATCCCGATGGGAATACCGCCATTCCAATGGGAATACCACCATCCCAATGGGAATACCACCATCTCAATGGGAATACCGCCATCTTGATGGGAATACCACCATCCCAATGGGAATACTTCCATCCCAAGCTCTGGAACCTGCCATTGGAGTGTATTCATGTGCCTTCATTGCTCCGCATGTGTTAGGTCCCAGTTAGGGCTGCACAGAACATTCCCAGCTCCAGCTGGGAGCTTCCCATTGGCTGGAAGGGGGTGTCCTGGGATGCTCCTGCTGGATCTGGGTTGGGAAGGAGGCAGCAGGGGAGCTCTGTTGGGCATGGGGATGGCTGTGTGTGTATGGATAAGCTGGTCCTTATCCATCTCCATCTCCTCCACTGCTGGAAACCAGCACCGGTGACCAAATTCCATTGGGAAAAGCTGCTTCCAGCTGATCCCTTCCCTTGGGGTTCTCCCTCTGCTTTTCAGCTCCTGGCTCTTGTCCTCCTTTTCCACAGCATTCCTGTGCTTTCGAGCTGGGATCTTATGGGCTTTGCCCCATTGCTCCTGCATAAACCCCTGGGATACAGCACGTTCCCCACAGGCTTTAATGGGTTGGAGCTGGATGAGCTTTAAGCTCCCTTCATCCCACCCCATCCCATGATCCCATGGTTTGCTTCTCCATTGTTTCCATGCCTGTGCTCCTGATTCCATGGCTCTTCCCAGCTCCATCCCTCGGGATGCTCCTGCTGTGCTCCGCCACAAGCTGCTCTGATGGGATGGGACCGGGAGGTTTCCCACGTGGATGGGGTCCAGCCCTGGATGATGGCTCGGGATCAAGCTGATATCCATGTCCATGGAAGGGAGGGGGGGGGTTGGATCCCTGCTCTGCTCTGGCAGCATCCCAATGGATACCTCTTGCTTCCAGAGGCTGGAGAGATGCGTGAGCATCGTCACGGCGCTCACCAATGGGCTCTCGGAGCGGGAAGCCAACGATGCTCTCAATGCTCACGTAAGTCCTGGTGTCCTTTGGGGTGGGCTGGATCCTGCATGGATCAAGGGACTCATGGGGGGGGGGGGGGTGGGATTCACGCTTCCCACTTCGGAATCCCACCCTTTGTGCCTTCAATCCCTTTGGAAGCCGATTGCTCCCTCCAATCACTGTGGTTCATTGCGGGGCTCAGTGGATGCTGCCCCTTTTCCCAGTGTGGGAACACACACACACACACACATGGAATTCCTTGGGTCTTTTTGGCCTCAGCTTTTCCCTGCCCTCCCAGCCACCAGATTCCAGCCCTTTGGAAAGGGCACGCTCACGCTGGGGAGGGGATGGAGCTCCACATGTTACCCTATAAGGCTGCGTGCGTTGCTAATGGGCTCTCAGCTATGCCTGGTGCGTTTGTAACCCCCCCCAAACCACCTTGGGCTCTGCTCCAGGGGCCCCTTCCCTTCCTGGGGCACGCTTGGCATCCAAGGGTGGGATTCAGGGCTCCTGGAATGCATTCCCGCTTGGAGAGAATGGGCAGGTCCCATCCCTTGGGTGCCCTATGGAGCCGTGGCTGCCCCATCCCTGGGCAGGGCTCAAGGAGCGTCCTGCTCTATGGAAGCTGTCCCTGCCTATGGGGCTGGATGAGCTTTAAGCTCCCCTCATCCCAACCCATTCCATGATGTGCTCCTGGTTGTTGCAGGGCTGTCATTGCCCCCCAGGTACCCTGAAGCCACTCAAAGCTCTCAGTACCAAGGGCATCCCCTTTGCTCCATGGAGGCCCTTTATGGTTTCTGTATTCCCGGTTTCCTGGTTCAGATTCCTTCCTGGGTGCTCCATGTGGGGTTTCCTTCTCCTGCCCCATCTCACCGCAGGCTCTGCCTTCTCTCCCTTAGATATGCAAAGGAAGCCCCCAGCATGAGGAGATCTGCCTGGGGCTCTTCACCCTGGTCCTCACGGAGCCTGCCCAGGCACAGAAGGTGAGATCCATTGGGAATGGGGCAGCACTGGGGCTTCACCTGCCTGGAATCCCAGTGCCGAGCAGAGCATCCCGGCTGTGCTGCATCCGTGCGGTCCAGGGGCTGATGCTCAAGGATGCTGCCTCCAAGGGTGAATTGGGTTTCCCTGTGGGATGCAGGCACTGGTGCCAAAGGGAGCAACCTGGAAAGGATTCCTGCCTGGATCTAGACCTTAAAGCCCTTTCCAGCCCATCCCAGGCTGGGATTCCATGGCTCTGCCTTGTCTGTGGAGGCCCAGCATGGATT